TGATACTATGTCTGGACTTTGCTTCAAATTAATTTAGACCAGGTTATTTTAAATGGATTGAAGCTGGGTGATGGATACATATATGTTTATTATACCATATCTCCATATAAAAAGTCTAAAAATACTTACATAAAAAGATTTCACCAAGTATCACTTTAGTGAAAAATATATTATACTGTGGTATTCCAAGAAGACAAAATATTATGAAGCCATTAAAATGGATGCTTTTGAGAAAACTTTAGTAACATAGAAAATGCTCTCAGAATAATACAAACAGGACAGGAAATGGATAAAAGTTCATTTTAACTATATAAAAGAGTTAAAAGAAGCAAACTAAAATGTTAATAGGATTGTGACCTTTTTCATGTTCTTTTGCATTTTCAAATTTTTCACAAATACCATTTATATTCAGAAAAAAAAAAATAAAAGCCAGTAGTGACAGAGAATAGTCAATCTTTACCCATAACAGCTTCTTTATTATTGTCACTGTCAGAGATGGGTCACTGGTCTGCCCAGCCAACTGAGCCAATCTGACCCAGGTGGCAATTTTTGGTTACATGTAAGGTTTTTGGCAGAGGAAATCGGATTGTTGGCTTTGTAATTTAGACTCTATAATTCTACTGCAGAACATAGCCATTTGTGTTGATGAGATGTATTTCCATTGTGAAGGATTGATGGTGAAATTAATAGCTCTGCTTTATTTCTGAGTGCTCTGGAATTTTTTTTAAATGAAATCTATGTCTTCACATACTCATGCATTAAGTATTTAGTAAGAGCCTACTCTGTGCCAGGTACCATGCTAGGCTTGGTTTAAAAAAGGAAAAGATAAAAAGCAACTGAAGTTGTTCGAAAAGAAGGAGAGGGGTAGGGGAAACTCAGTCTAATGGGAAAGGCAGTGTCAAGACTTACAGCATCATGTAACAAAAGGCTGTGTGTGGTAGAGGTGAACCCAGACTGGGAGTCCACAGGCTTGACAGAAGTCACTTGCTGTTAAGAATTTTTATTTAACAATTAAACTTCTAGGTATAGTATATATAGTGTGGTACATTTTCCTCACACAATTTAGATTTTCATACTCTGCTCTTAATTTCAGGCTTTTACAATATCCGTATATGTGATTTTTGGGATTAGTCTTAACTGGTGGGTCAAGTCAAGATCTCACTCTTACTTTCAGATCCTATGTGTTTACTTTATTGTGTACAGATTTTTCCTTTGAGAGGTATGAACACTATATTTCAAACACCACAACCTTCTGTGGTTCCACAGCCAGCAAGCGAAAATTTCAACTGTAATTGCTAGAATTTGTCTTTATTATAGCATGTGCATTTCACAGCACCTTATGAAATAGAAGTCAATGTAAAATTAATATGGAAAAGGATAACTTTTCTTTTTCTGGTGCTCAAAAGGAATGGACTCAAACAGCAATTTAAAAAAATCTTATTAAAAGCATTTTTCAAGAGTGTAAGATCAATGATAGTCATTGCCTACATCCTGTGAAAATGAGTTGCAGATCCAGTGATGTTTTCTAGAAATATACTTAACAAAATTTTTACTCGGCATTGTTAATTAAAAAAAAATAATACTTTAATCATCATTCCCCCTTTGAAAGATGCAATATTAATCAAATGGCTTAAATATCATAGTTAATCAGCTTTTCATGGTCTGAGGATCTGATTTGAAACAAAGCACACAGTAGAAACAAAAGAAAAGTAGAAAAAAATTGCCCAGTAGCAATTAGGAGCATAGAAATCAATTTCCAGCCGGACTGTACAGTTAAACGTGAAAGGCAAAAACATGCAGTTCTGAAAGATAATAGGGAAGAATCTTCATGGCCTTAGGGTAGGGAATAGTTTTCTCAAACAGAACACAATTGGACTTCATCAAGTCCAATTATGAAATCATAAAAATCAAAAAAGTTCTGTTCATCAACAGAACTTCTGTTCAAGAGGACACCATTTATACAACAAAAACTAAGTCCAGATTTTAAAAAAAGATAAATTTGACTACATTAAAAACAAACTTGTATTGCAAAAAACACTTTAAGAAAAAAACGAAATGCAAACAACAAATTGGAAAAATATTGCAATGTATTGTAGACAAAGGGCTAATATCCATATTAAAATTACTTTTTATATAGAGGGGAGAGAAAAGGGACCGAACATCCTAGAAAAATGAACTATATACATGAACAAGCAATTAACCAAAAAGGGATGTAAAAATGGCCCTTCAAGTTCATCTTTCAAGTTCAACTTCAAGTTCAACATCTTTCAAGTTCAACTTCAAGTTCACCATCTTTCAAGTTCAACTTCAAGTTCAACATCTTTCAAGTTCAACTTCAAGTTCAACATCTTTCAAGTTCAACTTCATTCATAATAAAACTACACGGAGATACCATTTCTCATCCATCAGTTCAGCTAAGAATCAAAAGTTTGATTCTGATGGTAAGGCTATGGAGGAACAGGCAGTTTCACACATCGTTGGTGGGCATACAAAATGGCACAACCTCAATAGAAAAGAATTTGGCAACATTAATAAAACTACATATGCACTTACTCTTTTACACAACAATCACACTTCTAGGAATTTACTCTGAAGGTAAGACTTCCAAAAATATGAAAATACTAACACACAAGGTTAGGATTGCAGTATTATTTGTAACTATAAATACTGAAACTACCAAAATGCAGAAATATAGGAGAATGGTGGAATAAACTACAGTATTTAAACTCAAGGAAGTACCATGAAGAGAGAATAAAGTAAGGAAGATTTCTATAAAATGACATGAAGTAATTTCCAGGACATAATGTTCAGACGAAACAGAGTACATATAGGAAAAAACCTTTTATGTAAGACAGAAGGGGAAATGCCAAACAAAACAAAACAAAACAAAACCAAATCTGCTGACTTTGGCAAAAAGAAATTCAGAAAGAATAAACAAAAATGCAATTGGTTACCCAGAATGGGTGGGGCAGAAAGAGGTGAAAGGGAAGGAGAAGGAAATGATATTTGAAAGCACATTTGAATGGATTAGACTTTAGGAAGCATGTTAATGTACACATTCAAAAAATAAAATTAAATTTTGGACTTGATCCTGGACTAGAGGGAAAAATTATGCTATGTAAGGAAACTACTGGGACAATTAATAAAATTGGAAAATGGACCGTAAATTGTACCGTGGTTATGGAAGAGAATGTCCTTGTTCCTGGGGAATGTATACTGAAGTATTAAAGAATAGAAGAACAAGACATTGCAACCTATTCTCAAAAGACTGAAAAAGTATGTGTTCACATCTTTGATATGAGTATGTATGTATTTAACATATACATATATGTATATAAAATTTTTTAAATGACAAAATGTTAAAAATTGGTGAATCTGAATAAAGGATTAAAAGTTCTCCATTATTCTTACAAATTTCTACAAAGCCAATACTATTTCAAAATTAAATATTTTTAAAACACGATCTAATTTAAAGCACTACTTAAAATCTCAAAAATCAATATTGCAGTGATAAACCACTGAGGGTTTTCATGTATACCTATGACGGATTTATTTACTTATTTCATTGTTTACAGTAAAACTTTTTTTTTTTTTTTTTGAGACAAGGTCTTGCTCTGTTTCCCTAGCTGGAGTGGAATGGCATCATCATAGCTCACTGCAACCTCAAACTTCTGGGCTCAAGCGATCCTCCGGCTTCAGCCTCCCAAAGTGTTATTATTATAGCCATCTGCCATTGTGCCCAGCCCTTATGGTAAAAGATTTTAATGAATGCAAAATGGATCCCTTCAATTTCACTGCCTTCATTTCCAGACTATTGAAGGAGCAACGGAAATGCAGTTGTGCCTCTCATCCTGTTAGGCAATGCTTTTTGTCTCTAGCAAAATTTGCCCAGTTAGATATACTGCCTAATCAGTTCAAATGCACTAATAGATAGACTGGAGTTACATTTTAAGCTCAGAGTATAGAAAATATTGACTTTTACATAAAATATAACATGAAACACTTGAAATTAAACAGGCAATGTGATCAAGAGTACTTACGCACTAGTTCTGAGTATTTGTACATGAACCATCATAACTGCACAGTGGCTCTCAGAGGCAGAAAAGTGGCACAGGCCAATCAGCTTAATATAATCAGCGCAATCACCAGCCAAGAGCCCTTTAACAATTACTTCACCACTTTTAACTTGAAGGTACCACAGATTAAATATCCTTTTACTTGACCCAAACTGAGCAATAACATTTAAAACACACATTATAGAGCAGTGCAATTATCCCTCAAAATAGGCAATGATTAATTAATAGGCACAATTAAGAGGTTGACAAAGCAGATGTGGAAAAATCAGGATGTCACGATAAGTAGCAAGGAGAACATATACCTTGATATGGGGACCAAAATATGTGGCTATCTAATTGGGGGTTCTAATTCAAAAATTTTTCTTAGTAGTCATTTCAACAGTAATTCGAGAAACATGCACTTAACTGCTGACAGGGTGTATCTGGGGAGAGGATGACAGGTAAGCACATGCACTTTGATACATATTGCAATGCCTGAATTTTGAAGAGTATGCATTACTTTTACCATTTCAAAAAAGCTAAAATCAGATCTAGTCATCTGACAGGGAAAAGATATACAAATGTACATGGCGACAGCAAGTTGTGTGAACTGACTTTATAGAGATCAAACTGAAATTCTAGTGTTTTCAGACATAATAAACATTAAGTTCAAAATTATTAAAAGCAAATGAGACGGGGAGGGGTATATACAACCACAATGAGTAAGATGTGCAACGTTTGGGGGATGGACATGCTTGAAGCTCTTACTCGAGGGGGGAGGGGGGCATGGGCAATATAAGTAACCTTAACACTTGTACCCCCATAATACACTAAATAAATAAATAAAGCAAATGAGATAAGCAAATGACAAAATGTAGACATTTTTCATTCAAGAATGTGGAAGCTCACTGGACTCAAAACACCAAATCTTTATTATATAAAACTTTTATAATAATATTAATGGCAGTTAGCTTTAAAAAAAAACAGCAAAATACTATGAATTAAATGTACAACAGATACACAAAGGACATATTACTTTGGGGGAAAGTTGCTTTTAAATATTGTACATTTCCAAAGAAAAATTTGACATTGGGAGACATTTTATTTCACTCAATTTTTTAGTAAGAATTTTGCTCTTTAAAAGACATAAAAAATTTTTCTTCTTCTTCAACTTTTATATGTAAAAGTTTATATGGTAAATTCCATAGTAACAGGCTAAACCAGATGAAATACATATGTAAAGCAATTTACATGATTAGAAGGCTAACTATGGTATTACTGCATAGGTCTGCGATTACTGCATAGGTTTAATATTAATATTATTGCATAGGTTCTAAATCTATTGCAAATGCAGTGACTCCTCAGTTTTAGACTTATAGTTGCACCATCCTAACTGCATCTAATGGTAGAAGCACCACCTTGTGGCAAAATTAAGAGCTTTTAAATTACAGAAGTCAGGGCTGGTTAACCAGAGAGAACAATTCTATGGGTTTCTGAGGCACAGCGATATTTTATTTCTTGACCTGTATAGCAGTGCCACACGTGCTCACTTAATAATTTGTTAACCATATGACTTTTCTGTATTTACTGTATTTCACAATTTTGAATGTTTAGGAAAAAATGTTTTGTATGTAAATGAATTAAAGGCCATGTCTCAATGCTTGATTTTTCCAAGCACTAGTTATATTCCTAGAATTTCCTAGAACTACAATGCATTCTTAACCTTGTAAATGCACTGTTGTATTTTTAGGATATGAAACAAAACACCAGAAAAAGATTTATTCTTTGGTAAACAACAAAAAGATTCCCTACAGATGTTTTCCTTACAATGTTTTCATCCCTGCTCTCTCATAGCCCCCATGAGCAAATGCAGGTGCTCTGCAATCACCTAAAGACCTCTACACACCTATAACAACAGGTCTGACAATTTTCAAAAGAAAAAAAATAGATTTTCCTGCATCAATATAGAATATCAAGGATATATGACACAATTAACTTTGCAATAATATTTAATCAAAGAAGTTTTCCTTCATGTTTTATTTATCATTTCCAGGGCTTGATACACACTACTCACAAAATGACTTGAATTAACTGGAGAGATTTTCACCCTCTGTAACTGCTACCTTTCTTGGCCCAGCTAACTGCATCACATTTAGTACCTCTTTTCATACCTAGAGCAATATTTTTAAAGGGAGAAAGCCTTATTCCTTTTTCCCAGGAAGCTGTTAGGATACTTCAGTGACCATCTCCTCTCTCTTACCCCTCACCCATCTAACAGATGAATGAGAAGAGCCTGTAGCTGGTGCAGCTCGTAGCTCGGTCTGAGGCAGTGTGCCCTGTGCAGAAGCAACACTGAATCATCCAGACCTGCCTCCCCTCCTAGCTTCTATTCCATCATGCACAGCAATGCTCACTCCTGATTTAACCTCTGCTGTGTTCACATATTGGGAATATAAGATTTAGAGTGCAATAAAAATGTGGGCAGGTCCGCCTGAGAATACTTCACAGGACAATGCCTTTCACTGGGTTAATGCTACCTGCTAAAGTAACCCTTATGCTAAAATTAGGTACAGAAAATATTTTTTAATTAAGTCATTAGAATGTTATATAGCAACTTTTGACTGAGCCCATTTCAAAGGTGCCATAATATGGAGGCAGCCACTAGCCAAGTGTCTGTCTCCTATAATTTGACACATTCCAGGTATGACTATTGGTCATGAGTACCATTCAGTCAAACGTTTGTTTCTACCTATGAAGAAATGTCAGGTTGCTGCACTGCCAAGATCTATAACCTCCTTAAGCAGTCTATAAATATATCTGCCTCATAAGATTAAAGAAAGAATACTCTCAGGGGTCTTTTTAGGGAGTGTTAAAGAAGAGAATGGGATTATTTAGCTTAAATCTGAAGAGGCCAAATTCTTACTTCCCCCTTAAAACAAGTAAGAAAATATAAACTTAACATGATCTACTAAGATTTTTGGAATTGTCCATTCAGAAATATTTCATAGAAACCAAAGTTAAAATAAAATATTATTAACGAAAAGTCTTAGCACATTAGTCTTGGATATTCCACATTAGTTATATTTCAATATTGTAATATAACCACAAGGTTCAACTGACCATTCTATCTAAAAAAGTTCTTTGATATTTTCAAGAAGCTATAGTTTAAAATCTTTTAACCCTTTTTCTCCTAGAAATAGGTGCATGCATGAAAAAGAACTATTAACAGCAGAGAATAATAGAGAAAATTACTACAATTCAATGTGAATATAATCTTTTGAAATCTTTGCTACAATTGGAATAAAAAACTCAATAATTCTAACAGAATGTTCTTTTTAATAAAAACATATCTATTCAAACTAAAAGGTACTTCTAATCATTCAAAATCTTATAATAAGCATAGAAAAAAACACATCCTTAATAACAAATAGTGAGCTTAGGCACAGTTTTACATAGATTGTTTTACTTTCAAGAAGTCAAAAGCCTCTAGGAAATCATTAAAATTCACAAGAAGTTAAATTTTTTAAGCTCTTTCCATCAACTTTGGCTAAATGTAACTACATTAAAATACTGACACAGTCTATAATCATGAAGCAGAAATGTATAATGGTAAATTTATTTTAATCCTTATTCAAAAATGATATTTAAATAAAGCTGTTACTATACCAGATTTAAAAATAAGGAGAACCAATGCTATTATGTATGTTCTTGAGCTGTGAAATTTCTCCAGTAATGGAGTAATGTTCAAGGAAATGATATTCAAAAATATAAATTCTTAAACATTAGCTTTTTTCTGTTAAGTCTTTTTCAACTTCTTCAGTTAACAGCAATACTTCGAACATTTTCAACTGTAAACTCTTAGCTTGTAATGTTTTGCTTTTTCCTGTATCTTGAAAATTTCTAAGTGCCATTAAATATATTATCTTCTGTTTCTTCTTAAAGAACTAATGTTCATAAACGGATCATCATCGTCATCCTGAAAGGATATACAAATGTTATATTAATGATTGTTCCATGTTTCACTGAAATAAGATAGAAGTTCTTATGGGCAAAACAATATCAGTAATAGTCACTTTCTTCTTTCACATGGGGTAGACTCCATTTTTCCATTTCCTTTATAAATGCAAAATATATAAGTCTAATTAAATTCTTAGCAAGCATTAAAAGTAAAAATTTATGCTGCTATGTATGTGTATGTCTATATACCTGCAATATATACCATATACATTTCCTTCAATTATTAACTTTCATAAGGCAAATGAGGTGCGGGTATGCCAGAAAAAATATTCCTCAAGTCATTTATATGTGGTTTTTGAACAGGTTTTTTTCTTCAGTTACATTACAGGTTTATCTGCTATTCTGGAAATTCACAGCCAAAAAATCATGAAGCCACATGGAGAAGATCTGCCTCAAAAATAGCTGTAATTCTTATTTCCCATTACTCATTTAATGCTTGAAATAGCCTCTTAGACTGATGCAAAAAAAACACACAAAAAAAACAGCCTTGCAAAGCAATCTTTCAAACAGTTTTTTTGGAAAAAGAAGTAGATGGGTATGTCAAGAGTTACCATGCTGCTGGGCTATAATAGATTATACACATGGTAAGAATAAACAGAAATATCAAACATTAACTAAGAATTTAGTGAAAGACAACGAAAACTAACAAACCTCAGATAAGTACAAGGTATACATTTTGATAAGGATAACATAAAATTGATCTTTATGTATTTTATATTTTTATGTATTCTATAACTAAATATTCAGAAGATAAAGCAAATTTGTTTAAAATTTTTGATTTATATTTCTTTTAAGACATTAATAAAAGAAACTATTATTTGATGTTAGGCTTTGTTGATGGTATTAACACATTGGAATGTTAGCTAAGTTAACTATTTCATAAGAAATACAAATTCACTTTCATTTATTGATTCATCTTCTGCTATTATAAAAGGCAGAACTTTAATAAATCAGAGATAAGTCCAAGTTGAAGTCTAATAGAGAATTTGCTAATAGTTCTTTTTTGCAGTCCACATAAACTAGTACACAAATTTTTAACTGTAACATATAAACCATATGTATATCTATATGCTTTAGAATAAACAAAGGAGGCAGTAACTGCTCATTTCCCTCCTAGAAGCAATGTGCTAGTATTAATAGCAGATTGAGCTCTTGCTACTGTTTTTCTTCACAGCCTGAGTTGTGGTGAGCCCTCTCAAGCTGTTTAAAAACTACAGGTGAGATTTAGGGAAGACAACAGCAGGAGTCGAAGCTCAAAACGAAAGGGGTAAGTCATGTGTTGCAACATGGATAAACCTTGAGGACACTGTGGTATGTCAAATAAGCCAGTCACAAAAAGACATATCCTGTATGATCTCACTTCCATGATGTGACAGGCCTAAAAGAAACAGCTGCAAGCAATTCAATTAAAAACTAGCAAAGGCCCTTCAAATGGCAGCCATGGAGGAAAGGGAAAGGCCAGCATCCTACAGTCATGCAGTTTAATTCAACTTAATTGAAACAACAAATGAAAAAGGCAAGAGGCAAGTTCTAATTAGACCTCTTCCTATTCCTCCTCATTCAAGCTAGAGAACATCATCTTGGAGTTTCTCTCACACATTATCTTGGAGTTTCTTTCACACATCCTGCCATATGGCACTTCAGTCAATGCCCAAATACCTCCATGACACGAAAATCACCACCATGTACCATCTCATATACGATGCATGTAAAGCATACAGTTAGTCCTTAATAAATATTCCATTACAGTACTATTAAAAGCTCTTGGGATATCACCATCATCATTCATCCAAATATGAATGGCAGAAGCTAAAAAAATATTCTGATCCTACTGTTAACTGGGCAAATTAGAGTTGAGTCAATATCATATTTTACAAATCTGCAGGCTTTTTATATCTAAGATAATTACCTTGACGGGCACTCAACAGATGTTACTTGTTGACTCTTAACTATAGTTCAAAGTAAGGTTATCAGTGAACTATTTTTAAAAATAATTTCTAGCAATCAGCTAGTAGTCCCTATTTAAATTTTACAAAGTTAAAAATTAATTGAAATTTAACACTATTACTTTATTACCTCATCTGATTCAAAATCAACCCCTTTGGCTGTTTGGCTCTGGGACATGCGTTTGCTGGAAGATGCGCTTGACCACCTGAGGCAAAAAAACAAACAACAAAGACAATGAACTACGGGATGTATAAAATGTGCCTTTCTAGCTAATTTTTTCAATCTAGTAGCAGCCATGAATAAAAATAACACACAATTCCCTTCAATCTACATTAGAGGCAGTCAAAATGGAATGAGGAGAAAAAGGGCTTGGGGCCAAGGTTTGAATTACAGTTTTGCCATTTACTTATTATGTGGCTTTGGGCAAATTATTTAGCTTCTCTTTGCCTCAATTTCCTCATCTGTAAAATGAGGATAATAGTCTTTTAAAGATAAAATGTGTTAATATGCTTAAACACTTTGAACAGTGCCTGACACATATTAAGTACTACAAAAATGCTTATAGTTCTTATATTAAAATGTATCTACTACCAACTCCTACTTATGAAAATTGTGAGAACACTGAAATACTTTACATTCAAATCTGAGTTAACAAGAAAATCATGATTCCTACTCTTATAAGGCTTGACTTGTAGTAAATACCTAACTCTTTATTATTATAATAATAATTTTAATCATCTTGGATCAGAAGCCAGTAAACTCTGGCCAGCAGGCCAAATCTAGTCTGCCACCTGGGAGGTAAGCCTGGGTTTCACATTTTGAAATGGTTACATTTTAAATGGTTATTTAAATACCTACCTACATAGTATCCTCAATTTTGCCTCTTGGCCTACAAAGCCTAAAAAAAATATTATGCTATTAAATATGAAATGTCCAATTTTGAATAAAAGTTTAGTTTATATTTCAAACAAGAAGCAGTGCAATTAATCAAAGTATATGCTTAAACTATCAACACAGTTTTGCCTTTTTTTTATTTTAGCGTATTATGGGGGTACAAGTGTTAAGGTTACATATATTGCCCATGCCCCCCGCTCCCCTCCCCCCTCGAGTAAGAGCTTCAAGCGTGTCCATCCCCCAAACGTTGCACCTCTTACTCATTGTGGTTGTATATACCCATCCCCTCCTCCCCCCTTCCCCCTCCCACCCTCCTGACACCCAATAAATGTTACTCCTATATGTCCACTTAGGTGTTGATCCATTAATATCAATTTGCTGGTGAGTACATGTGGTGCTTGTTTTTCCATTCTTGAGATGCATCACTTAGTAGAATGGGTTCCAGCTCTATCCAGGAATATACAAGAGGTGCTATATCACCATCGTTTCTTAAAGCTGAATAGTATTCCATGGTATACATATACCACATTTTATTAATTCACTCATGAATTGATGGGCACTTGGGTTGTTTCCACAACTTTGCAATTGTGAATTGTGCTGCTATAAACATTCCAGTGCAGGTGTCTTTTTCATAAAGTGACTTTTGATCTTTTGGGTAGATGCCCAGTAGTGGAATTGCTGGATCAAATGGTAGATCTACTTGTATCGCTTTGAGGTATCTCCATATTGCTTTCCACAAAGGTTGAACTAGTTTGCAGTCCCACCAGCAGTGTAGGAGTGTTCCTCTCTCTCCGCATCCATGCCAGCATTTATTGTTTGGGGACTTTTTGATAAAGGCTATTCTCACTGGAGTTAAGTGATATCTCATTGTGGTTTTGATTTGCATTTCCCTGATGATTAGAGATGTTGAACATTTTTTCATGTTTGTTGGCCATTTTTCTGTCTTCTTTTGAGAAGTTTCTGTTCATGTCCTTTGCCCATTTTTTTAATTAAAAATATTAAATATTTTTACTTCTTTATTTATTTATTTTTCCAGAGGAACAAGAGCAGGTTACAGGAATTGCCCATTTTTTGATAGGGTTGTTTGATTTTTTTCTTGCTGATTTTCCTGAGTTCTAAATAGATTCTAATTATCAGCCCTTTATCAGATGTGTAGCTTGCAAAAATTTTCTCCCATTCTGTGGGTTGTCTGTTTGCTCTCTTGAGAGTTTCTTTGGCTGTGCAGAAGCTTTTTAATTTGATCCTTCTTAATGGTAGCTTGTTCATGCCAGCAGCAAAGAAGCCTAGAGAGCAAGTGGCAATGAAATCATGAAAGGCATTTTCCACAACTTGTTGAAAACTGAATAGTTTTTCTTGCAAGACGTGGTCCAAAGCCTGGAAGAAGTGGTAGTCAGTTGGCACAAGGTCTGGTGAATACAGTGGATGACAGAGAGTTTCCAAGTCCAGCTTCTGTAGTTTGAACAGCATTGTTTGTGTAATGTGTGATCTTGTAAGAGGATTGACCAATCTCAGCTGCTTCACAGCAAGCATCCTCATCATTTAATCCAGTTGGTTGGAGGAAACATCTGCTGACTGACCAGGTTTCATGAAGCTGTTGTGGATAATACCAGCGCTGGACCATCAGACACCATTAGCTTTTTTTGATAAATATTTGGTTTTGGACTGTGTTCGGGCACTTCATCTTTATCCAACCATTGTGCCAAAGGCTTGTGATTGTCAAAAAGAATCCATTTTTCATTACATATAACAATATAGTGCAGAAATGGTTCACCTTTATGTCATGACAGCAAAGAAAGGCAAGCTTCAAGACAATTTCTCTTCTGATACTCATTTAATTCATGATACTCATCTATCTAGCTTCTTTATCGTGCCCATTTGTTTCAAATGGTCCAATACTGGTGGAATAGCAATGTCAAATCTTGCTGCTGATTCACGTGTAGGTTGAGATGGATTCGCTTCCACCACAGCTTTCAGCTCATGATTAACCACCTAGGTCTAAGGTTGCCCACGTGGCTCAATTTCAAGATTAAAATCACCAGAATGAACTTCTCAAACCATCAGAGTACTGTGTGTTCATTAGCCACATCCTTCCCAAACACTTCATTGATATTTCACGCTGTCTACACTGCATTGGTTCCATGACAGAACACATATTCAAAAGAAACATGAATTTTTGACTTATCCATGATTTTACAAAAATTGCTGTTAAAAACAAATTTAAAAGACAATCACAAGCCAAAACATGTGTTTAAAGGAATGAGGAAGTACATTCACAATAAAAAAAAAAGTGTCAAAGTGAAATGTCAGAGCTATCAACTGTAAAACTTAGTACATATAGAAATTGGACATTCCATACTTAATAACCTAGTATTTACTGTCTAGCCCTTTATAATTTACAATTTTATTAACATGTTTTCAGATGTTCTTATAGCAAAAAAAAAAAAAAAATGTCCAAAAGTCTTGTCTAGACAAATTAAGATGGAAATCAAGGGATCTTGTGTCAGATGTAAACAGCAAAATTCACAGGTCCTCATACACAAAAGTAAGGGACAAGAGGATTTCTCAGGCAAACCTGAAGAGTAACTAAGGTTCAGAGGCAAAGGATCAGCAAATTTATCAGGGTCCACACCTAAGCGACAGAACTTAAATGCTTTAAATCTGTGGTTCTCAAGCCCTGGGCTGTAGCCTGGTACCAATCAGTCCGTGGCCTGTTAGGGACCAGACGGCAGAGCTCCACCAGCCTCCCCCTGCTCCCCACCATGGAAAAATTGTCTTCCACAAAACTTAGGAACTGGGGGGCCACACAGCAGGAGATGAGCTAGCAAGCAAAGGTTCATCTATATTTACAGCCCCTCTCCACTGCTTGAATCACCACCTGAGCTCCTCCTTGCCAACTCCCACCCCCTGACCCCCATCTGTGGAAAAAATTGTCTTCCAAGAAACCAATCCCTGGTACCAAAAAGGTTGGGGACTGCTGCTTTAAATTATAAATGAAATACCATACACACCCTGCAATTACTAAAAAATTCTGCAAAAATATTCTAAATCGTCATTCAGTTGCTGTCATTAGAAACACAAGTCTGTAAGGCTGATTTCAGATTTGTTTCTAAAATGTCCATTTCTAAATAGCCTCTCAAAATTTAAATGATTCTTACTGCTTACACAATAGTTTGAGAGCTTAATTACTGTGTTTAGAAGCAACAACATAGAGATGAGTTTGGGAGAATGCCTGGCTTGTGTGACTAATTGGGTGACCTTAGGTAAGTTACTTAGCCCACTGTGCTTCACTTTCTTCATCAATAAAATGGAGATGATAGAGTTATGATTATTTCTATCTCTTGGGGTTTTTGTGAGCATCACACAAGCTCATTCATATGTAAAGTGCTCAAAACAGTGCCTGGCACATAGGAAGTACTAAACTACTGTCAGTTTACTACCTCATGTCTAAATAAGAAGTCAACAGACATTTATATTGCTGAAAAGTAAACAACCCAAAATGATAACAAAATATTTTTCTTTAATATCCTCAAACATATGTCAAATACTAAAATAGTATTTTTCATTAATTCCTTGATCCACACCTGAAAAAAAACCCAGAAAGCTAGACCAGATTTGTTTGTTTGTGCTTTAATTTACAAAGGCAAGAACAACCAAAAAAAGACCTAGAAAGGGGCTTTCACTTCCTTCCACAACCTAAGGTATCCTGATATGGATTTCTTCCATATCCATTTATTGGATTTCTTCCAATAAATCTCCTTTTCCCTAAGCAAATTTGAGTTAGGTTTCTAGCAGCTGGAACCAAAGGAGTCCTGTTTAATATGCATAAATGAGCCTGAAAAATTCAAGTAAATCTTCATGAGCTAAAAGAACTCCCTCAGTTATCTACCACAAGATATATAAAACTACTTGCATCTGTGCCCATCTTAGTATTTTTACTCCTCCTATAAAGGCCAGTATGGGCTTATGCAACTTTATACTCTACTGGAATTTTCTCGCGTCTTTCTTGTTGCTTTTTCTACTTTACCCAAGCTTTAAAGATTGTAACTCCAGGATAGGAACACAAGCCTCTGCTCTCTCTGCCTTCTCTTTCAAGGTCACCCCACACACCCCAATGGCTTTATGTACCATCTGTATGCTGTCCCACGGTAAATCTAGGTATCATTCCTAACCTCTCAGCTGAGCTCCAGACTCTTATTTCCCATCACCTATAACCTCCTTTCATGTATGTTTTGCAGGCATCTCAAACTTTTCACATCTAAAGCAGAGCTTTTGATTAAATATGCCTATCATCCCCTATAAACATCTGTTCCTTTCCTCTTTTATGCTCTTCTCTCAGTGTATGGCACAATCTAGATGCTTGAGCAAAAAACCTGAAAATCAATCTTGATTCCTTATTCTCCCTTACTCCAAATAATTCTATCCATCCCCAAGTTTTGTTATGTCTATTTTCAAAACATACCCCCAAACCACCTATTCTTTCCATTCCCCCTGCCATCAGCCTGTGCAAGCCTCCATCATCTCTTAGCTGGACTCTGCTACGGTACCCTCCTTTCAGGTCAGCCTGTTTGCACTCCCATGTCCTGCAACCGCAGGGATCCTTTATAAATGTAAGTCAGACATCACCACTTCTCTCAAAATCCTTCTCTGACTTTCCAGTGCATTTATAATATATAAAAAGTTCAAATCCTCACCATGCTCACCTGTTCCTGCAGTATGATTTACTCCTGCCTCTTTCTATTCTTATGTCAAACCACCTCCTTTTCCACTGTTTCTTCTTCAAGAGACTTTGCATGTGCTTTTCCCTCTGCTTTTTGCAAAGCCAAGTCTCTCTTCTTAAAATTTCTATGGCCTCCTCAGAGGCTTTCCCTGACCCCTTCAAAGTGGATGTCTGTGTTCTATGCCACTGTTTGTTGTCACTGCACCCAGATCATCTCCTTGAATGCATTCTAACACATCCACTAGGACTATACTTTCCAGGATTGTTTCTATAGTTTGTTTCTAACACATCTGGTGAGCACCAGCTCAAACACTACCTACTATCTTTGATCTATCGCAGAAAGAGGTTGGCACTTCCTTTACATTTCATTAACCCTGAATAAAATTTATCCTGGTGGATTAGCAGTCCCCTGGAATTAGCATACCACTTTAGTATAAATTCCTTGAAGGGGTATTTCTTTCATCTTTCTAACACCAGCACCTAGCATATGTTTAAGGATCTAATAAGTGAATGTGGGGCTATATTTACCAACTTTTCCAATATTGACCCTTAATTCTCAAAGGGTCAATACTGTAGCCAGGGAACAAAAACTGGTTCCGGGGGGTGGGAATGGGGTGAAAAATTGTAGGGACTACAATGGTTTTTGGCCCTCTCAAGCTCGACCTTTCCCAACATAATTTCATTCTTCAGTATTTAATTTCCATATAAATTGTTTTTTCTCCTTAGGTAATGAAGAAATGGTTAAGATCACAGGAAAAAAGCTTGAGGAACACTGATATAAATCTCCCTCTCCCCTCCATTGCTCCTGTTCATGTCATGCTGGGATCATCACTTTCTGCCCTACTAAGCCAAACAATTCCCATCCTTGAAATTTCAAGTAAATTTTACTCCCTCAGTGAAGCTTTTTCTTCTTCCATAGCCCACACTAACCCACGCTTTCTGCTCCTTTTTCCACCTGCCCATAAGCACTCATATTATGTGTCTGTATCATAAAACTTCACACATAATTATATACTGACTCAATCATTCTTTAAAGAATTCAAAAATGTGTTCATTTTTCTTTTCCACTAAATTTAAGTTGCCCAAAGGCAGAAACCATCTTAAACATTTATGTCCCCCATCAGACATAATATAATACTCAAACAGAAAACAAGTATAAACCAGGTTTTTTCTTAAGTAGAAATTCTCATTAATTGAGCTTTAGTTAAGTTAGTATCCACCCAAAATGGTGACAGTAAACCAAGTCAAGCTTAACAGCAACAGGCCAAAAGCAAGAAGAAAAGCATGTAAATACTCTGAAGGCAGAATGAGCCTACATGATTCTCTTTTTAGTGTTTAGCACAGCACCATGTATAATTAAGTATATAAAAATATGATAATGACAAAAAGCTAAAATCATATATTAACATAATACAAAATTATTTTCTATTAATTGGAGAGAACAAGATTCCATTAGGAAAACCACTGGGTAATAAAGATAAAAGGAAATGAAATATAGGTGATTTAAATTTTCAATGAAAATACTTGTAATAACACTGCATCAACTCTACAAACTAGCTCTTAGTCTGTTTTCACTCCTCTATATACTTTACTGCTAAAAATAAGTCTGTTAAATTTCAGTGACATAGAAAAATATATAACTATAGAATTCTGGATAATTTTAATTTTTTTCAGATGTTTCTTTCTGCAGGAAGTCCATGAACCTACCTCTGTTCTGTCTTTGAAGTGGTAGGAAAAATGTCATCGTCTTCCACATCTGATTCATCCACCTCGATTACCTAAGGTGGAGGGTGGGGCACAAAGCAACAAATAGGTTTTGTGGGAATGGAACACCCAAATAAAAATAGATTAAATGATTAAATCTCAAAGTGTTTTTTTTAAAACATACAAAAAAGCCAAAATAAGAAGACAGAAACAAAGTGAGTAGCAACTATTATATTAGAACTAAAGGTCAGCCTGAGCTCCATCCAATGTCTCTCTTCATTCATAAATACTATTCTCTATTCCATGTTTTAGTGCACTTCTCTCCTGGCCATCCCTGGAGCGTGGTACCCAAAGGAACAGATTGGTGAATGACTCCCACAGGCTCGTGTGCAGACTGTGCCTGTGATTTTCTTCTTAAGTTCTGATGGGTCACCAGACCATCAGTGTTCCACCTCCAACTTTAAATGAGGTATCAGAATGTGTGGGACATACTGGATATCCTTCTGTTACATTTATCCCTGTTAAATATTGTTTGTTAGTGTTAAGACCCAATAAAGATATTTCTGATTCTTGATTCTGTCACTTAAAATACTAACTATTCCTCTACATTTTGTGTTATCTTGACACTTGATACGCACATTTCCTAAGTCTTCATCTAACTAAAGTGCAGATGAGGATGATGCCAAGGACAAAATACTGAACAAACAGCACCTGGGGCCAAGGATGCTGCTAGACATCTCACAACGCACAGGATAGTCCTTCACAACAAAGGATTATCTGGTCCAAAATATCAATAGTGCCACTACTGAGAAACCCTGATAGAGAGGAAATTGTATTGGCTTGGGAGTTAAGACACATGGGTTTTGAAACAGGTAACAGGAGAGTCATGCCAATACCAGACTCTTTGGAATCCAAAGGAAGAGCAGAAGGTCTATGTTAAATCTACAGCAGAACATAGAGATCTTTAGACTCCAACTTTTTAGGCTGTCTTGAGTCTAGCATCAGATGATAAGGCACAAGCTGGTATTATGAGAGTGTAAGAAACAAAAAGAACGCAGGTATAAATAAAACCTCTTATATGCAATGAATGCACCCTCAATATTAGCATACCATGCATGGGGCCTTTTGGTTCAATACTGTTATCCTTAAAAATATTACTGCACATTTAACACTTATGGATTTCTAATAATATGAATCATTATTTTTAAAAAGAGAGAAAAACAAAACAAAACAAAATCCTAGAAACCCTGAGGAAAGATGACCGGTATAGCCTCCCTCAGCCTCCACTATGGCAAGCAGTAGCGGTAGCAGAGAGAGAGAGAGAGAGAGAGAGAGAGAGAGAGAGAGAGAGTGTGTGTGTGTGTGTGTCATCCGTGGAGGCAATTCTGAATGCCATTCTGCTTGACAATTCAATAATTTTGAATACTGGCTTACTTATGGAAACTTGGTCTATTTGTGTATGGTTTTGTGAACAAAATTAACCCAGAGGCTTTAACATTGGTTATTAAGGAGCTTCACAAAGCTACTGAAGCACTAAAGGCTGCTGAAAATACGGCAAGCAGACTTTCTGGAGAAATTCTGATGAGATATGTCAAGCTCTGCAAGATGATTTAAAGACTGCTTTGTAGTCAAGAATGTACAATGAAATTAATGCATGCATCAGTGTAGAAATATTTTCCTTTTTAAAATAATTATAAAACCATAGCTTTATAAATCAGTGGAAAGTGGCTTACAGAGAGAACTATCTTATGTGTTTTCATTACATCTTGCTTTTTTTTTAACAGCTTTGGCATTATGTTCATATTTATGTATTCCTTATTTATGGCTCTGGTAACTTTAATTTTCTAAGCAGTCTAGCAGATGTACACATCTGCTGTACTTGGTTGATGTACAGTGGAACCCATCGGTAGTGATGTGTAGTAGTAGTTATGACTTATTGACATTTCCATTATAAACTTAAATTTTGAACTGTTTATGCCTAAAAACTGTGGATTTATGTTGTATGGGATGGAAGTTGACAGGATTTCGGCTATCACTTGTAAATTTTGATTGAGATTCATTATGTATATCAGAATGTTTTTTAAAAATAAGAGCATGGAAAACATTTCTAGCCATCTGCTCTTTAACAAAGAATATTTACCTTTCTAAACACTTTGTTGGGCAGTTAATAATGTGAACCAGATCATTTTTGTATTGACTGAAAAACTTTTAGAAACTTAGATTGTAAAGGAAATGACAGTGCTTAGCTTAGCATTATTTATATTTAATAATTTAATAATTTAAATCTAATGAAATAATTTAAATCTAATGAAAATGTTAGCTGAGAATTTTTTTTTAAGTTTTATACCCTATAAATGAAGGCCTAAAAAAATAATGTGTAGGCCGGGCATGGTGGCTCACGCCTATAATCCTAGCTCTCTGAGAGGCCGCGGTGGGTAGATTGCTCAAGGTCAGGAGTTTGAAACCAGCCTGAGCAAGAGCGAGACCCCATCTCTACTATAAATAGAAAGAAATTAATTAGCCAACTAAAAAATTAGGAAAAAATTAGCCGGGCATGGTGGCGCGTGCCTGTAGTCCCAGCTACTTGGGAGGCTGAGGCAGAAGGATCCCTTGAGCCCAGGAGTTTGAGGTTGCTGTGAGCCAGGCTGATGCCACGGCACACTAGCTCAGGCAAGAGAAGTGAGACTCTGTCTCAAAAAACAAAACAAAACAAAACAAAATAATGTGTAAGATGAAACATAGCCAACATGCAAAACTTCTGTTTACTTTTATTATGTAAAAGTAATTTGAGTGCTTACCTAATAAATCTTGAGTAGTTATTTAATAAATCACTAGATGGATGGTAAGTTTCAAAAGATATTCAATATTTTCTGAAGAAATAAGGATTTCTAGTCATTAAACAAAAACTAATCTAAAGTTCTGTATCAGGAATTATAAGTATATATAAGTATGGCTTTTTGAAATCATTTTGTGTGTCATTATTTTTACCCTTAAAGCTTTAACTCATGAAAGTGATGATAAAAAATAAAATTTTAGAAAATTTAAGATAATACTGATTCTGTTCTATAACAGAATCTCAGTGAAGTTTTTTTGGCAAGATTATAGATTTAATATGATTTTATTGTTTCTTAAATTTTAGATTTTGTTAGCTACCATTTAAACAATGGTATAAGCACTCACTCTTTAGTAGCATGTTTTGTTTTTCAGACAAGTTGAAGTGGTTTTAATAAGGCTGAGTGATATTTTTTTCTCTGTTGCCCAGGATAGAGTGGCATAGCATCAACCTAGCTCACAGCAACCTGAAACTCCTGGCTCAAACTCCTGGATCCTCCTGCCTCAGCCTCCCAAGTAGCTGGGACTACAGGCATGTACCACCATGCCCAGCTAATTTTTTCTATATATTTTTAGTTGGCTACTTAATTTCTTTCTTTCTTTCTTTCTTTTTTTTTTTTAGTAGAGACGGGGGCTCACTCTTGCTCAGGCTGGTTTCAAACTCCTGACCTTGAGCAATTCTCCCGCCTCGGCCTCCCAGAGTGCTAGGATTACAGGCATGAGGCACCGTGTCTGGCTGAGACTGAGCGATATTAAAATAAAACTTTCTCTGCTATTTTTAATAATCTAGGCTTTTGACCATTTTGACTTTTTAAATGCATGCCATTTTTACCAAGTACACTGCAAGGTCTATTATTCGCAGAACAGGTTGAGAGATAATAAGAACTTATGATATTTGATAACATCATATTTGATATTATATTTGATAATAAACACTGCAAATACAGCATGTTGTTATTTATAAAATCATAAAGACAACACTTTTGTTAACCTAATCCAAAATTTGAACATAGTTTTAGGCCATACAGTTGATAGTTTTACTTATGATTTTATAGATTAAGTTATTTATGTATGAAACAAAAAGCATGAAAATACACTGAGAAGGGAATATGTTTACAGAGGACTTCTTTAATATGTCATATTTCTTAAATGTAAACATATATATATATATTTTTTTAATTCATACTTAAGTAATGTTTAAGAAACAAAACAAAATAATGATACCATTGCAGTGTTGCACTTGTGACAATAATGAAACCATTTTGGTCATATTGGCATGTTTAAAAAAGTAAAGTTCTCTCCAGCTTTAATATTCCATAATTTTTCTTCTTTAATTTACTTTGTAAAACAAAGAGTTGACAATTCATATGTAGGAAACATAAATAACTAAAACAAACTATAAAACTTTTCCCCCTTACCTCTGAATAATTCTTAGTAGCAACATTTCGTGAGGGCTGCTGTCTTGTAGATTTAAAGACTAGAATGAAAAAGATGAAACATGCGTTGTCATATTTTTAAAATAACTTAGAAAGACTTGCACATTTCTTTAGCTGAAGGTCTTCTAAGTCCTATCTACAAAACCCATGATGACTAATTATAAAACCATTTATATTTTTTAAAATCTAAAGAGATGTAAAATTGTATGTTCAAATAACTCAATGCTTACCTGTCAGTCTCATGATTTCCCAGCTTATTCAAATACAGTAATAAGCAGTGCTCATAAATACACCCACACTAAAAATATTTTATAGAAAAATGCCTCAAGGATAACTCTGATCACCTAACCAACTCAACTACAAATACACTGAAGGGAAGCCTCCTAATCCCTTCCTTCTTTGTAGTCAGGATACCCTTCCCTGTGGCTGTATTAGGAGCCATGTGGTTCCAGAGGAGCTTTCTCATCCTCCTCTACCTTGACAGCCATACTGACTACCTAAGAAATGCACCAGAGGAGAATTCTACAAAACAGCCTTATCTTTTATCCCATGATAAAATTCCTTTGAATTCATACTTTTTTTGCCTTATAAACTTAGATACTTGAAATTTAACTAATCCTTTATCTTTCTCCTTCTTTTCCCTTGGGATCAAAACCTATAATAAATTTCAAACACGTAACTGAGGTTTATTTTCTCCTTTGCCTTACCAGTTTGCTAGTATCAAAAAAATCTCCTCCAAGTTGACCCACAAACTAAATAACAAGGCAAAGAAAGAAAGAGGATTTTAAAAAGCCAAACAGTCAAAGAATTCCACAAAGTCCAAAATTGTCCAAGTCAGAAAATGTTAGGAATCTTTCTACCTAGCCTAAGTTTATTATATGCTCATGTTTCTTATTCCAGGTTTTAACCCCAATCCTGTGATATCTGAGTGGAGAGATAGAAGCAGAGTTCTTATCTGCTCTGCTCAAATTACTGCTGTCACATCCCACTCTAACCAAAAGGCGAGAAATGGCAACGGAATGAAAGCCAGTGATCATAATACTTTCCAAGAATATTTCTGCTCAATATTTATTCACTGAGTCCTCAAACTCTGGAGAGTCTTGAAAATCAGACACCTTTCTTTTTATCCCCAGTAGATAGCAAAAGGTGAATAAATATCTGTGAAATAAATAAACCTGATCAGAAAAATAAGCACCGTGTTTTGTTCGGAAGGCAATATAGTGTGATGATTAAGAACTCTGGTTTTGGAGTTGACTCATTTTGACTTAGTAGCTTGACTATGGCCAAGTTCCTTGGCTTCTTTAAATCTCAATTTCCTCACCTGTAAAACAATGTTAATATTAATACCAAAATACTTCATGCAGATAACTGTTGACAGGATAAGAGGCAGTTAATATAAATAACTTAAGCAAGTGCCTAGCAGGTAGAAAGCATTCAAAATATGTGGCGATTAGTAGTAGTAAATGTAGCAGCAGTGGCACTCATAGTGATAAATTAATGTGAAGGTAGTGGCTTCAGAGCTATCTTTTATTTGCTTAGTCACCGTCCTTTACTAACTTCAATGGAAAAATATGGGCTGTCAATTCTTATATAAGTGCAATTTGTTCCTTTCCCAGTAAAATTTCAGTACATCAATAAATCTCCATACTCCATGGAGTTTGTTATAATAGAATTTGACTTTATTTATTTTTTCATTCCTCCACTTATAATAGGAATCCAGAATTTATAGTCTGATTTGTTGCTTCTGCCCCATAGTGATGGCAAGTAGAGTTAGTATCCTATGGTTATTTTGCCAGAGGCTTACAAAACATCACATCTAACCTGATAAAACTGTTTCACAAATTCACATTAAAAAAATCAGTTCATTTTTTTTTAAAAAAGGCCCAATATTGAAAGTAACCAGTTAAATTAGCAAAACCATGAGATCAAATCAGTTAGATAAAAGACACATTTAGACCAATGCTTTATATAACATACATCTCCATAAACTTACTGGAAAATGCTGCCACTGATACTATTAGCAGCAAGCATCTATTGAATTTTTACTAGGTGCTATGATCAGTACTGCATATACTTAAGCTCATTTACTATAACTACTCTGTGAAGTCAGCACAACATCACCAATTTTATAGCTAGACATTCAGACACTACCTAGTGTCGCTTTGTTGCCCAGGCTAGAGTGAGTGCCATGGCGTCAGCCTAGCTCACAGCAACCTCAAACTCCTGGGCTCAAGTGATCCTACTGCCTCAGCCTTCCAAGTAGCTGGGACTACAGGCATGCACAACCATGCCCGGCTAATTTTTTTTCTATATATATTAGCTGGCCAATTAATTTCCTTCTATTTATAGCAGAGACGGGGTCTCGCTCTTGCTCAGGCTGGTTTTGAACTCCTGACCTCGAGCAATCCGCCCGCCTTGGCTTCCCAGAGTGCTAGGATTACAGGCGTGAGCCACCACACCCGACCAGCACACATGTGTTTTAAATACAGAAAATAATTATAAAACCTCTGCATCTGTTCACTGTAGGCTGTTATCCAGACAGACTACCCAAAATGCTACCTCAAATATTTAAAAATCAAAAAACCCAAACAACTTCTTAATGCCATTTAAGAGATGATCACATAGTGAGGAATTACTAGGCCAAAACTGAACAAAAGCTAGACTCACAGAGGCAAGTGGAGTCCTTTCCCTGAGTTCACCTTCAATCTGGGAAAATGTTAACATTAGTTTTGAGAGTCCTGGAGGGGAGTGGGGAGATACTATAAACCAAGATTTGCCCCAGGTGGGAATTCTGATGCATTTCCCTCTTTCCTTAGGACAGACAGGACCCCAATGGTTAAACAGAGAAGTAGAGGTAAACAGGATTTCATAAGCACGTATCATCTGACTGGTCCAAATACTCTCAAATTATACATTTAGTTCAAAGTGGTCTAAGACTTGTGGTGCCCTACAAGGTTGGAGAAACAAAATGAATCTTCTCTGGAGGAAGACAGCTGCATCCAAGGTGTCTAATTATGGCTACTGATAATTTTCTAGGGATGACAGATAACAAAGCATGGAAGGAAATAAGTCGCCATAAATAAGAACCAACAGAAACAGAAATTAGAGACAACAGAAAGAGGCCAAAGACATTCAGACACTAGGTTATTAGACACAAAATGCAAGTCAAATATCCTTACTATGCACACATGAAAAAATACAGACCTAAAAATATCTGCAGGGAATTTTTAAAAACTATTAAAAGTGACAAGGCATGTTTAAAAAGAAACAAATAGAATTTCTACACCACCCCCCAACATACAATAAAAATTAAAAATTAAAAGGGCAGTTGAAAGAATAGATGAGTAGACTGGATGACTGATCAGAAGTAATGACTAGGAGTGTTGCACAGGAAGAGAAAACAACAGAAGATACAAAAGAGGTTATGAGTCATGGGAGGACAGAGTAAGTCTTGTATTTATTTAATTGAAGACCCAGAAGGAAGGAAAAAAAGAATGGCATAGACATCATATCTGAAGGTATAATAGCTAAGGATTTTCTAGAAATGATAAAAGATACCAATTCACAGATTCGTGAAGCCCAATAAATCCTAAGGAGGATAAAAAAGAACATCATATTTCAATTCGTCATAGTGAAACTAAAGAACACCAAAGTCAGCAAGCTGAGGGAAAAAAAAGATTACTTAGGAAAAAAAAGCAATAAGCTTAACTGGTATCTGATTTCTTAACAACAATGGAAACCCAAAGACTCACTTTAAGTGATTAATTCCATTCGTGTGTCAAGGAAAGCTTCATATGAAACAATTAAGCCAGTACTACAGAAGGCCATTTGGGCTCAGGTAAAGGTGGGTAATTGACAACATCTATGACTTTGTCAGTTGCATGCTATCCAACTGTTGGTGGTTTAACATACAAGTATTCATATTTTATTCACTCTTTTTCCATGTTCCTGTTTTCTTATTTTTTATAACAGTAACAATAACTAACATTCATTCATTCACTTATTTGAACTCCATGTCCCCCCATTCACAATACAGACCAGGCACAGGGCTGGGGTGCATGGGGGTAGGTTTACTCTGCCTCCTCCTTCTATACAGTCAGTTTAAGATCATAGCCTACGGTAAGCACCAGAAGACTAATAATGATAACGTTTCATAGATGCCTACTGTGTACCAGGCTTTTTGCTCATTTAATCTTCAGAATAACCTGATACAGTAATTATTCGCAATTCACATGTAAATAAACTAGGAGATGAGTGTCTTGTCTCAAGTCACAAGGCTGCCAAGTGTTGAACTCAGAGTTGAACTCTGCCTGGATCCCTGTCAATTTGCCAGGCTGTCCTCTCTCTCTATCTTCTCTGCTTTGTATGAGACCTACCAAGAATGGAGTGGCATCTTTCTGTATGCCATTTCCTAAATGGCAATAAAGACTTGTTTCTGAAGTCAAAAGTGAAGGATCTTAGCTGGCTTTTCTGAAGCACTGAATAATACTTGAGTAAAAATACACCAATAGAATTTTTGATAAGGTTCCTCAAGAGACATTTAATCAATTTGATGTTTGTATCCTTTCTCCAATGTCAGCTGTCATCCAATAAATGTCAAAAACTTCATTTAATGGAGTGACAACTCAATTCCTTCCAAGGTAGCTTACTCCATCTTTATATTAATTGGATAGGTTATTCTGTATAATGCTAAGACCCCTCTACTGAGAACCAGTAGCCAGGTTTCTTATCTTATCTTGCTCTGGAAATGACTATAGTGGTCAACTGCTGGTTCTGGAGTCCAAAGAACATGAGATCATTTCAAGCTCTGGTACTAGTTATGAGACCTTGGGTAAGTTACCTACGTTTCCAAAGTCTGAGTTTCCTTTTCTGTAAAACAGCGATAATATAATAAGTATCTACCCCACAGACCTGTTAAAAGGCATGCAATTTCATAAATATTAGCTATTGTTGTTACTATTAGTAGTTTTATCAACCCAGGACAAAACTGCTTAGCTCAGTTCCCTCATCTGTAAAATGAGGGGACAGAAAGTTGTTCTTAAGCCTTTGGGTCCATTCTATCAGATGATAAACTTAAGCATGCCTGCTTCTAGTTTTTTCCATCCATCCTCATTGAGCCGTGAGTCCTTAATCTGGAGAACATGGATGTGCTTCATAGGCGTCCCTGAACCCTTTGAAATTGAGTGCAACTGCATGTGAGTACTTATTTAGGGAGAGAAGACGTAGCTTTCAGATTCTTAGACAATCCATATGCCAAAATAGATTTAAAACCATTAACTTTGGGACTAAATAAATTAAACCTATTTCACCTTTCACATGATAGAACATATTCTATGGAAAGATCAGAATCTTTCCCAGGGTAGATACGCCAAGTCCCTTCAACCATTTTTTACATTATTTGGTTTCTCTTCTGAATGATCTTATGTAGTTGATGTCCTTCTTGAAATATAGTTCCAAAGTTAAGTACAGTATTCTTGGCATGATATATCCAATTCAGTACCCAGGAGAACTTCCTCACTGTGGAGGCTCACTACTTCTATGAATACTGCTTAAGACATCATAGATTTGGACAGTTAGGTTGACCTGCACAACTCTTACTGACCTAAGTTTTTTTCACCTGGGTTGCTATTAAACTCACATACCTCTCACAACTCTATTTGTGCAGCTGTCCTTATGGACATAAATGCAGTTTATACTTTTTACCCTTGATAAATTTCATCTTGGGAGAATTATTAACAGTTCAACTCCCCAGTGTGTCAAAAATTAATCCTAGCTGAAAAAGTGAGAAAACAATTAACCTCAAATAATAGATAATATAAATAAAATACATGCGAATATATTCTAAATGCTAGATAGAAAAAAACATTACCACCTATCTTAACGTATACTTTTTGTAATAAATATGACTAACAACTTAGGCTGATCTCATAAACTGTAATATTAAAAATAGTTTAATAGATCCCCTTAAGTTGAAGCCAATTTTTAGACCACAGAATATACACAAATTAATTCCAAGATCTTAGTCATAATTTTTTTCAAGTGCAGCTCACCTGACCTGTCTCTATGGACAGCAGAGACAGACAGAAGCAGCACAGGGAAAGCAAGAAAACAGCACATTAAGAGGTGGTTCCCCTCTCTTTGAACTACTGTCAGTATAGTAACTAACTGCCTCAAAGGGTGATAACAATAAAATTTGTCTAAAAGTAAGGAATTACAAACATAATTTTTGAAGCTTACCCATTTTAATAGCTCTGATGCATGGCAAAGATATATATATATATATATATATATTTGAGACAGAGTCTCACTTTATTGCCCAGACTAGAGTGAGTGCCGTGGCGTCAGCCTAGCTCACAGCAACCTCAATCGCCTGGGCTCAAGCAATCCTACTGCCTCAGCCTCCCGAGTAGCTGGGACTACAGGCATGCGCCACCACGCCCAGCTAATCTTTTCTATATATCTTAGTTGGCCAATTAATTTCTTTCTATTTATAGTAGAGACAGGGTCTCACTCTTGCTCAGGTTGGTTTCGAACTCCTGACCTCAAGCAATCCGCCCATTTCAGCCTCCCAGAGAGCTAGGATTACAGGCGTGAGCCACCGCGCCCGGCCATGGCAAAGATATTTTAAGGAATAATTTATCTGGTGATTCTAATTGCTCTTTTAAGTCTCCCAATGATGGTGACACAAATAAATGAGGGTTCCTAATGGGGATTATGTTGGTCCCCCATGTTGGAATTGATAAAGAACTTGCAGTTTATACTTACCATCTAAAACAGACATATTTCTAGATGTTGACACAGTAGCCTTTGAACTCCTGCTCCGGGTAGTGGTCTCCAGACCTGTGCCTGCTGTTAGAATGAGCAGTCAATATATAATCCTATCAGTAGCTAAGGTTTTTTTTTTTTTTAAACACACAATAGCAAAATGAAAGCTAAATAAAGTTACATAAAATAGTTTATTTATAAAAACCCAAAGACACATATAAGAAGAAACCAATCCATCTGACCAATCCATTTTCAGAGACTACTCTTTTAGACTATATTTGGTTCATATTTGTCCAAGTAAAATTTAAGAAAAAATTTTGTAAATGTAAGGATAATGAAAATCATCATTAGAAGATGGGGATTTCTCTCCCTGGAAATTTTAAACTAAATTTCGATTCATTTTCCCAGCATAAAATTCCTATGGATAAATATTTAATAGAAACAATTTAAAAATATCCCTGGAGATGGATTTATATAATTTGTCAGGAAGGCACTGGATCACCATTTTATGTTTGTTTGAACTATTCAATGACAATAATGTTACATTAAATACAATGATGGAAAATAATGTTAATGATTACTTTTAGAAATCAAATTGTCTGGGGGTAGTTTTTTCTTTTAAACAAATTTTATGATGCCCACTTTATAAGCATGTGGGTATTTGTATCTTGTGACAGTAATGACAATAATAATTTTGATGGATCTGAAATTTTCCTCTTCCTGCCAATGGCTATTAGCTAGCCATTTCCTTAACAACTCATATTTGCCTATTATCTTGACATGTGAGTGCAAATATAACATTAAATGTACCCAGAAGGTACTGTGAGAAAACACAGTGAAGCTTTTAAAAAATATGTGTTAAGAACAATTAAAACCCTGTGGGCATGTGACCATTCATTTGAGTAAATGGTACATGTCAGAACTGCATTAAAGACTGTCTTCATGCATTATAAAAATAAATTTTAAAAAAATTATGTTTTAGGCCGAGTGTGGTAACTCACACCTAGCACTTTGGACGGCCAATGGGGGAGTATCTCTTGAGATTAGGAGTTCAAGATCAAGCTGAGTGAGATCCCATCTGCACAAAAAAATAGAAAAATTAGGCTGTGGTGGCACACGCCTGTAGGCCCAGCTACTCAGGAGGCTGAGGCAGAAGGATCACATGAGCCTAGAGTTTGAGGGTACAGTGAGTTATGATGATCCCACTGCACTCTAGCTGGGGTGACAAACAGATGCTGTCTCAAAAAAAAAAAGAAAGAAAAAGAAAATTATGTTTTAGAATTAAAAACTCATTACTAAATTCTGACAAGATAAAATTCTGTATTTCCCACTCAACTGTCAAGTCTGAATGTGCAAAAGACTGTACTCAGTGCTAACCTCTTCCTCTTTGAGACTCTCCTCTCGATGTTGAATTCTGCCCTCTTCCTCCTCTTCGACCTCTTCCTCGGCCTCTTCCTCTGTTGGCTGCTGCTGAGATGCTATCATCAGAGTCATTGCCCATCTGTTCTGCTAAATCTATACTCATAAAGTCATCAGCACTGAAAGCAGAAGCAGAGTCCTCTGACTGAGATCTGAGAGCTCGGGCCCTATTCATGGCCTGAGAGGGATAACAAGGAGAAAGTACACATACAGAGATAATGCAGCATCCTGAAAATCATTAATATAGTCATTCAGATAATAATTTAATGTTGCCAAATTATCTATATAATTTTTCAATAATCGTGCTATAAAAATATGAAGACCTTCTCCACCAATCAAATGTAACATTTTTTAATGCTTACCTGTCAGATCAATTTATAATATTATAATACCTGTAAAATGAGACTTTTTGAAAAGGTTTACCAAGAAAAATAAAATTTCACAGATTCAAAACTTTCAGAACTAGAAGAAATATTAGCAATCATCCCTAATTTAGCACATCCTTTATAAGAGATTGTCATCATTTAAGCTACTTTTTAGAATGGCTCTTTATAAATAACAAGAAAAAATCTAAAAATAGCTGTTATCTGAGTAATAAAATGGGTCCTTTTGTTTTCTTATTTATTCCCAAATATTACCAAGTTTTCTATAATATACTAATACTTCTCCTAAAATATTACTTTTGTAATCAGAAAAATATGAACAATCTTATAAATTTATAAGAATTAAGTAGACTATATTAACGGAAAGCCTAAAAAAGAATCTAAACCAGTATGTCACATATTTTTAATCTGATAAGAAACCATCTGGAAAGACAAGTTTGAGAATTAACCAAATATTCTAACTCTAAAATGAATACATATTTTTGGATTAAAAATAGAATAAAATCAATTCTGCCCTGATTTTCCCTTAAAACAATCAAAATGTAACAAGAACAAAAACAAAACATTTTCAAAAAAATTAGAAAATAGCTCCAATCACAAACACACAAGCTATGAAGAAGAATTAATGAGTATAATGAATATTTGACCTGGCTAAGGGAGAAAGCTGAGAAGAGTTTAAGGCATTGTAGAGCTCTCCAAAATTGATATATATATATCCCAAGAAGCCATGACAACAGTCTCTCTTGCTTGCAATGGCAAATTCTGGGTCTAAGAATAGATGATCACATAATTTTTAAGCTCTGTGATACCATAAAGTAAGGAGAAACAGGGCTAAATAAGCAGATGTCAAGAAGGCAGACAGGATAGAAGTAGGAGTGAAGTGGGGGTGGGGGTAAGAAGTAATATAACCTCATGATGATGATCTTAGTTGAGGTGAAATAACAGCTAAATCACTGCATTAAGGGCTTGATGGCCTTACAATGCAAAGAGAAAAGACTTTAAGGAATACAACAAAAAATAAAAAGAAACAATGGTAGAAAGATTTCCGTTCATCTTTCCTGTCCCAAATGAAGTACAAGCAATCCTCCTTATTCATAAATTCCATATTTAGAAATTCAACTACTTGCCAAAATTAATCTGTGATCACAAAATCAACACTTGTGATACTTCTATGGTCATTTGCGGACATGGGCAGAGTGGTGAAAATTTTGAGTTGCCTGACACACACTTCCCAACTGAGGTCAAACAATGAGTCATTCTGCCTTCTTGTTTTAGCTTTTGTACTTTAGACAAGTGTTCTTTCTATAGTATAGTCATGTGTCGCTTAACAACGGAGATACATTCTGGGAAATGTGTCTGTTAGGTGATTTCATCTTTGTACAAACAAGATAGCATGTACTTACACAAACTTAGATGGTATAGCCTACTACACACCAAGGCTATATGGTACAGCCTATTGCTTGTAGGCTACAAACCTGTACAATATGTCACTGTTTTGAATACTGTAGGCAACTGCAACACAATGGTATTTGTATATCTAAACATAGAAAAGATACAGTAAAAATAATACAATCTTACAGGACCACTGCACATGACTATATATTTATTCCCACTTTTTTGCATTTTTGTGCTTTTGCTTGGTAATTTGGTGTTTAAAATGGTCCTCCAGCATAGTGCTAGAGTGCTATTTAGTTAAGTCTGTGATGTGCCTTATGGAGAAAATATATGTTAGATAAGCTTTATTCAGGTATGAATTTATAGTGTTCTTCGCTATTCGTTCAATGTTAATGAATCAACAACATATTTTAAATAGTGTCTTTAAATAGAAACACATAAACAAGATTATGCATTGATTGGTTGACAAAAATGTTGTAACCTGTGGCTCATAGGAATCTAACTCTGTACTTCCTCTAGGAGCAATGGTTCAGTACTTGCTAATTGAGTCCTACAAGTAACTTTATAGAATAAAACTACCACAAATAACAAGAAGCAGCTGTATATTTTTTAAAGTAGACTTTAAAAAGGTGACCTAAATTACATAATTGATAAGATAGATCTAACTGATACATGTTGAATTCTGTACTCTGAAATTAAATATACTTCTTTTTAAGATCCTATGAAACTTGATGGGTGTATAATAGGCTGCAAAGGAAAATCCCAATAAATGCTAGAGAGTAGAAACAGAATTATCATACTGTGTGATCATCATGCAATAAAATAAGTTGCTAATAATAATAAAGCAAAAATTCTGCCTCCTGAAGATTAACTGGAGTCAAACTATAAAATAAAACTAAAATTGTATAACATCTAGAAAATAATAACAAAAATATTGCATATCACATGGGAGAACTAAAGCAGTGCTTATAAGAAAGTCTATAGCCTGCTAAACAAGGATGAATGTAAAAAAGTTAATTCTGTATTCAAAAAGTCAGGAAAAATAAAATAATGCCTATCCAAGGAAAGTTTTAAAAAGAAAAAAACATATTAATAAATTTTAAACAAACACACATTTGTCTAAATACTGTACCTTCATTTTTATAATCTCAAACACTACATTCAAATCATATTTTAACTCTACTTTTTCTACACAAAAGACGAGTTTATTGCTATCTTTGAAATATATTACTTCTAAGACTTCACTTCATAAGTACAGATCTAGAGCCAATCACAAGGATGTTTCCATACACTTCTGGGAGATCTGAAATCATACTATCTTAGTATTATACTTTCTTTTTATTGTGGTGAAATATAAATTTATTTTTTAACCATTTTTGAATGTAGTACAGCGGCATTAAGAACATTCACGTTGTTATGCAACCATCGCCATCATCCATCTCTACAACTTTTTCATCATCCCAAACTGAAACACCCTATCAATAGTAACTTCCCGTTCTTCCCTCCCCAGTCCCTAGTAACCACTACTCTACTTTGTCTCTATAAATTTGACTACTCCAGGTATATCATATAAGTAGGATTATAGAATATTTGTCCTTTTGCATTTGGCTTTTTTCACTTAACATAACATTTTCAAGTTTTATCCACATTGTGGCATGTATCAGAATTCCGTTCCTTTTTAAGACTGAATAACATTCCATCACATGTCTATACATCATTTTGTTTATCCATTCATCTGCGGATAGACATTTGGGTTGTTCCTATCTTTTGGCTATTCTGTATCATGCTACTATAAACACTGGTATACAAATATTTGTAAGGCCCTTGCTTTCAATTCTTTTGGTTATATACCTAGCAGTAGAATTGCTAGATTATAGGTAATACCATGTTTAATTTTTCTGAGGAACCATCATACTGTTTTCCACAGGAGCTGCCCCATTTTTCATGCCTACCATCAATATACAAGGGTTCCAATTTCTCCACATTCTTGCCAAAACTTATTTTCCTTTTTAAAAAAGTAACAGCCATCCTAATGGGGTATGAAGTGATATATCATTGTGATTTGCATTTCTCTAATGGTTAGTGATGTTGAGTATCTTTTCATGTGCTTATTGATCATTTGTAAATCTTCTTTGGAGAAATGTCTGTTTAAGTCCTTTGCTCACTTTTTAAATTGGGTTTTTTGTTTTGTTTTCTTTTGTTGAGTTTTAGAAGTTTTAAAAATATATCCTGGAAGCCGGGCGAGGTGGCTCACGCCTGTAATCCTAGCACTCTGGGAGGCTGAGGCGGGCAGATTGCTCAAGGTCAGGAGTTCGAAACCATCCTGACCAAGAGCGAGACCCCGTCTCTACTATAAATAGAAAGAAATTAATTGGCCAACTAATATATAGAAAAAAAATTAGCCGGGCATGGTGGCACATGCCTGTAGTCCCAGCTAATCGGGAGGCTGAGGCAGTAGGATTGCTTGAGCCCAGGAGTTTGAGGTTGCTGTGAGCTAGGCTGACGCCACGGCACTCGCTCTAGCCTGGACAACAAAGCGAGACTCTTGTCTCAAAAAAAAAAAAAAAAAAAAATATATATATATATATATATATCCTGGTATTAATTTATTACTGGATATATGATTTATAAATATTATCTCCCATTCTGTGGGTTATCCTTTTCACTCTGCTGACTGCATGCTATTATAATACATTTTAAAAGACGATATTGACCCTGCCTCAAATTCAGATAGAATATAAGAAATTAGAGGTGAGGTAAACTAAGGACTATGGGTCAGACTAAGAATAGTTTTTATATTTTTAAAGGGCTATTTAAAAAAAAAAAAAAACCAAGAATATGTGATAGAGACCATATATGCCTGCAAAGCCTAATATTTACTGTTTGGTCCTTTATTTAAATGTGAATTTCTAATTAAAGAAAAGACTTGAAAGTTTTTCCATGTTAACAAGAGACTTTAAAGCATAATGTTCTTTCTCTGAATGAAAGGGCTAATAATTTTGTCTGTTTGTTTCAATAATTTAAGCATGGTACTGAGATTCATATTCTGAGCTAAATGACTCTGCAAAGCCGTAAATTATATTATATTATATTTGGCAAAGTGTCAAACTCCACTACCTAAGTTCTAAATAGTATATTGAGAATGGAAAAATGTCTAACATACTATGGCTTGCTGAAAAATTACCTAGGAAACATTGGTTACCTGCAAAAGTCTTAAAATATATCTGGGAATCTAAACTTGTAATTCTTCCCTTGTATAAAATGTTTACTCTTTCTCTTTTAAAATATTAAAGAAAAACTGAAATTAGTAGCTTCAAACACAAAGGAGCCATTCAAACATAAATATTTCTGTAATCCATTATTAAAAAATTCAAAGGGTTAATCAAGTTTAAGCCAGGTGATCTAAGAACCAGGCATCATTTCTTCTTAGAGCTTGAGTTTGGTGTCAGTCTTCTCATTTATAAAATGGGAACTGAGGTAGTGTAAGGTGCTTAGCAAAAGGATCCAAAAAATATTTTCTTCACAAATGTCTCTTACCTACTAAACCGAAAAAATCTTATGGACATAGACCATACCTTTTTCATACTTGTATTCCTAATATAACAGGTACAATGCAAAAGGTCTGCTGAATGAAAGCAATGAAATCAAAACCAACAATAAATAATTTATAACTTTTAAATACCAGATAGCCATCATAAAACACTAAGGACAATTAGAAAATAAGAAAATACATTTCAATCATGAATTCACCAAGTACCAGACCAAGGCCCAAAATTCAAGTAAATGGTTGCTAATTTATAGTTCCTGCAAAGGTACCTGCAAAGAGACTGAGAATACACTGATAAGGGTGCTTAAGACAATTTTAATAGCTTAGAACAGACGGTGGAAACTGTCTATTCACCCATGGTAACATTGCTAACCAAAATACCAGTTTCTTTTTTGCACAAAATAGTATCAGCTCAATGGGGTAATATTTTATCTTGTATCTATAAGATGCTTTGTTAGCAATTAGATATTATTTTAATTAATAAGGGCTCTTGTTGCATATGCTCCCCCCTGCACACACAATAAAATAAGTTTTAGAAAAGAGCAAAAGGAAAATTTTTTAAAAAAGCAATGTCAACAGGCAGAATATTTGCAGGCTGAACTGAAATCAATCAAAGGCAGCTATCCTTAGCCAACCCCTGCTCACTCCTACCCATCACACCTAGGGACCAACTATTCTAAATAAACCTACTAGATATTCTAGTTTAACAAACTGACATATAAGCATAGGAATTTACAGCAGAAAAATTACCTCTCGAACTTCGTCATCTTCTTCATTAGTATTTTTTTGTCTGCTTTCTCTGAAACGACGTACCTACATCATAACAGAGTAATCACAAACATGTTTATTCCAGTTATATAAAAATAAGGTAATGGCCTACAATTGATTAAGAAATGCTTTACATTATAACATAAAACTTGGAAATTTAACTACAATTTGTCTCACAGAAGAATAAGAAATATTTTTCCAGTTACTTACATTAAAATTTTAGAAATGTACTCTAAAAAAATATACTGGCCCCAAGCAAAATTATATACCTGCTGCCAAAATGTTAAATGTCACTAGAAAACAGTCTATTAGATTGCAGAGGAAAAAGATCCTAATATTCTATAGGTGTTATACTTTAGTACAACAGATAAAAACAAAAATCTCTCCTTGATGAGGCTTGAATATTTATTACATCGCTCAAATCAACCTTGTGCATCTGGCTGCAAGACATCCAGGGGGCTCTCTAAAATGTTATCTTAGGTGAGTGGGACCCTAAAAGATCCACTTTTATCAACAGTCAACTACTGAACGAATGTTTGCTGACTGTGGTCCTGGTACCAAGAGAGATAGTATAGCTTTCTTTTGTAATGGTTCCTGCTCACAAGGCTCTTATAATATAGTTATGTAGTTAGAGAAAAAGCCCCATTTATTTAAAATTCATTTAGCACATATTTACCTACTATGTGCCAGGCACTCTTGTAGGAACTGAGAATACAGCAATTAACAGAAGAGTCAAAAATTCTGCCCTCACGGAGTTTATAATCTAATGTATATATTGGAGAGGGGTAGCAAATAAGTTTTATATTTCAGAAGGCATCAAGCATCAAGTTAGCTAGACTCAGAAAGTTTATCCATGAGGAGCCTCTGGGATGGTTTTTCACTGATGGTTTTCAACCTGCACAATCTTGCTATGTGACCTGAGAGCATAATCCTTGGGAATACTGAAAAATCTTGGTGTTCAATCCAGTGACAATCCAGGTGTGCAAATAAGGACATTGGGACCTCATGCCTGGGCATCTCTCAGATCCTTAATGCCTGCCTGTACTTTTTCTCACTGCACTACATCCATTGCCTATAAATATAAACCTTAAGTGAGTATGCTCAGAAGAGTTTTGTAAGTCCTTTCAAATATCTGAACCTGTGAAATCTTTGCAAAAAGGTAAGTACTCAGAGAAAAATCAGGAAGAGAAATAAAAGTGTTGAGAGGTTACATCTCAGTAAGATGATCACAAAAGGCCTCATTGAAAAGGTAATATATGAGAAAAGGTTTTAAGAAGCAGGGAATAAATCATGGAAAAAACTGGGAGAAATCATTCCAATCAAAGGAAAGAATATGTGCAAAGGCACTAGGACAAAAGTATGCCTAGTATGTTTAGGAAACAGCAAAGAGGTTGCTGTAGCTGCAGCAGATATGAAGGTAAAGACACAAGTCCAGACTGAATAAAGCCTTGAAGAACTTTTTTTTGTAGGCAGGAGTGACCAGATCCAAAATATGTGAGGATTCAGTCAGCTGAATTGAGGATAGAATTGGGTGTGGAAAAAAGAATAATCCAGGTGAGAAAAGATGATGCCCTGTACCAGTGGCAGGGATAAAGGTGGTAAGAAGCAGTCAGATAGCATATACATTCCAATTTTCTTTGTAGAGACAAAGGAAATTCTAGACAGTCAGCATACAGGTGACAGAAAGAAAGGAGTCAAGGATAACTTCGAGGTTTTGGCCTGAGCAACTGAAAAAATGGTGCTTCCACTGGAACACTATAGGGGAGCAGATTTGAGAGCAGGGGATGAGAAATAGCAATTCAGAATGGAACTGTTAAAGTCTGAAATGTCTATTAAGCACCCAAATGGAAATGTCTAGCAGGCTGTTGGCTATGGAAACCCTGAGTTATAGGAGGGGGTTGAAAGTTATCACCAAACAGATGGCATTTAAACCCAGGACGCTGGATGAGATCATAAAGGGTATGTGTAGATGAAAGGGTATCCAAGGACTGAGTTCTGGGCACTCCAATTTAAGAGGTTGCAGAGATAAGGGGAATCAAGAATAGAGACTGAAAATATGCAAGCAGTGAGGTAGGAAGAAAAACGAGAAGAGCATATAGTCCTGAAAGTCAATGAAAAAAATGTTTCAAGAAGAGGTCAAGTGAGATTTAAGATAGCAAAAACAGCAGATTTAGCAATGGCAGTCACAGGTGACCTTGACAAGATCAGCTTCACTGGAATGATGGGGCCAAAAGCCTGAAGGGATGGGTCAAAGAAAAAAGGAGGGAGAAGAATTAGGGCAGAAAATATAGAAACTCTTTGAAGCAATTCTGCCACAAATGGGGAATAAAGAAACAGAGTAGTAGCTAAAGGGAAATGGGATTGAGAGTTTTGCTTGTTTTTTAAGCTCAAAGACAAAACATGTTTGTTACAATTTAGTAGAAGAGGGAAATACAAGAATAATACTTTTAAAAAAATGGCATCATATATAATAGTGCTCTAGGTGGTAAGCAGCATACCAAAAGTGCTAAGTCACTCATAGAGGAGACATGAATGAGTCAGGGTAAAAACACCAAGCAGGCACTATGTGTCAGGCAGTATTCGAAGGACTTTATGTGGCTTAATTTTTTTAATTCTCGCAACAACCTTGAAGGAGGTTCCACTGTTATCCCCACGTTTTAGAGGAAACCAAGGCACAGAGAGGTTAGATAACTCACTGATGGTAATAAAGGTTCTGATTTTGAACACAGGTGGTGGGATTGTGCATAGTTTTGCATCTTTTGGAATTCTTTTCCCACTTAACAATATATTGGAGATATTTTTACATGTTCTTCTTTAAAAATGTAATTTTTAATGGCTGCATAGAATTCTACATAGTATTACGTGCCAACATTTATTGTACCAAAACATTTGCAATTATTCTCTGCTATAGATAACACTAAGGTAAATAATTCTATACATAAATCTCTCACTATTTTTGCAGGAAAATTCCTGGGGCTGAGTTAAAGGGTAAATCTTCCTAAATCTCTTGATATACATTGCCAAACTGCTTTTCAGGAAAGTATTATGTTCAAACATAATACTATAACAATAATGTACCAGATACTATTTTTCGCAAATCACTGTCAATTTGACAAATAAAAAATATGAGTTTCTTTGATTATCATAGGCTAAACACCATTTTCATATGCTTATTAGCCATTTATATTTCTTTTATAAACTATTCACATCCTTTGTTCATTATTCTATTAAAATGTTTAATATTTTTTAAAAATTTATAAGAGCTCTGCCTACATACAAATATTTTCCCATGTCAACACTTTTAATTTAGTTTTCTGATAATTTGATGTGCAAACATTTAAAATTTCTATGTAGTCAAATCTAAACAGCTTTTCTGGTGTAATTCTACTGTTTTTATGCTCAGAATAAATTTTCTAGATAAAATTCAAAATCTCAATCAAAGCTTACTAAAAAACTGAAATGAGCAGGAATTTTCATCCTACAAGGTTCATCTAAAAGTACTTTCAAGATCTTCAAGAGAAGATACTATCTATGGGGAACACAACTAACATTTATTCAGTACAATTATATGTAAAACTATTCTAGGCACTTTCTAACTTAATCATTTATTATCTCAATTTTTTAGATAAGGAAACTAATCAGGCAGGTTAAATAGTGATTTACGAGAAAAAAACTCAGAGCTACTCTTAGAGACTGTCTAAATAGACCTAGACACCCAAATTAATTACTCACTTCTTCATCAATTTTATCTTCTAGGGCATCAATATGACGTTTTTTAAGAAATTGCTGTGTTTTCTCCAACTGGTATTTCACTAATTCCTCGATAGCATCTTTCTCCTCCTTGTCCACAAATTCTTGTACTGCTTCACCCATCCCTCTTTCTGTTAGCAGTGAGAGCTGGACATTCTGTAAGACAAAAATACATCACTGAATACAGAAATGGTATCTATTCCTTACAAAGTAGTTATGTATGAGCAAGAAAAATTACAGAATAATGTTACCGGGGAAAAATACAAAAAGTTACCTAGTTATTGAAGGGAAAAAAAAAAAACCCAAAACAGTGAACAGTAGTTAAGCCTACTGGTAAATATGATGGGCCAGAAAAAGCAAAGTCAAAACCAGAAGAGAGAGAGGAATACAGGACAAGTGACAATGTAGAGGCCTGAGTGGCTAGGATAGACAGTCCAGAAATGGAAGATGATGATTATGAGAGATTAGGTTAACCAGTGTGTAAGGCAGAATAATGGCACCCTAAAGATGTCTATATCTTAATTTCTGGGACCTGTGACGACATGGCAAAAGGGAATTCAGGCACTAATGAGCTGTCTGTAAACTAGAGAGATTACAGAGACTACCCAGGTGGGTCTGGTGTAATCACAGTTAATAATAACTAAATTATTAATTTAGTTAAATCTCAGCCCTTGAGCACATACCTTTTTAACACTCTGTAAGACAAATGGGAAGAATGCTGAAAGCACTTTTGCTGCATTCCTAAGCAAGATAATTGTCTCAAAAACAGTGGGTATAGACTGGAAAAAGTGCTAGGCAGGAAGTCAAGAAACATCAGGTACAGTATTGGCTCTACCAATAACCTTTACCAGGTAAATGAATGTTAAATGTCTAGCAGGTATGGGATCTGGTGTTAAAAACACAACAATGAAGCTGGGCACAATGGTACACACCTAGAGAAGAGAGAGACAGAAGGGAGTCTGAGGGAGAAACACCTGTGGGAAAGTGTTCAGAGAGACACAACATTGCTAGCTTTGAAGATAAAAGAAGGGAACCAAGAGCCAAAAAATGTAGGCACCTCTTCAAGCTGGAAAAGGGGAGGAAATGATTTCCCCTTAGAGCCTCCAAAAAAGGAACACAACAATGCCAACTCCTTGATTTCAGTCCAGTGAGACCTGTGTAAGATTTCTGACCTACAGAACTTTAAGGTAACACCTCTGTGTTGTTTTAAACCACTAAATTTGTAGAACTTTGTTTCAACCGCAATAGGAAACTAATACAACCAGAGGATCTTAGAGTGGCAAATACACATGGTAGTAAGTTTGAGTGCTTTCACCATGTGGCTATCTTTGTAACATAATTCTGAAATTACAACCATATGTGAGAAAATTACATACTGGATTAAGATTTTTGCAGTAGAGATAAAAAGATAGTGAGAGAATAACAACATCAACAGCCATGTTAATGATATTAATAATATTAAACACTAATTTTTCTTGATGTGCAGCAACTACAAATAAATGTAATTGTCACTCTACTTCACAGAAACATTTTAAGGATTCATTTTGTTAAACATATTCTAAATAAACATACCCTAAATTAAAATTAACATATCCTAAATTAAACATATCCCAAATTAAAATCTGCTATTATAAGATAGCCATTGTTCAAAATGTGAACTGTAGGAAATTACCTTCTCTGCAGTTTGAAAATACTGTTTTACAAGGTCTTCTACCCTTAGAGTTGTTCCTTCTGAAGGTTTTGTAATAAGCTTCCCAAAGTTGATCTCTTCTTCTAGAAAAAAGAAATCCATCAAAAAATTATAGCTTTTATTATGATGGTAAAGTGGCCAAACTCATCATAGGCTGTTGTCCGTGGAGATGGTAACACCAAACTTTATCAACTGCCAGCTTGCTCAACATGGTAAAATTCAAGGCAAAACAAGCCATTTTTGCTAACACCCACAGTCTTTTCCCCATAGTCAGTATTCCTTCTCCACATCTCCAAGTGATATATCTCTAGCAGGTGTACCCACATGGTGGACCACAAACCTCTGGAGGTCCCTAAGATCCTTTCAGAGGGTACACATGGTCAAAACTACTTTCACAATAACACTAAGATATTGATTGCCTTTTCACTGTCTGGACATTTGCACTGATGATACAAAAGCAATCGTAGGTAAAACTGCTAGTGCCTTGGGATGAATCAAGAGAGTGGCATAAAATTCTACCAGTAGTCACCACGACATACAATTCAAAACACCATAAGCCAGTTTCACTTAAGAATGTCCCTGATCTAACAGTTAAAATTATTAATTTAGTTAAATCTCAGCCATTAAGCACATACCTTTTTAACATTCTGTAAGACAAATGGGAAGAATGCTGAAAGCACTTTTGCTGCATTCCTAAGCAAGATGACTGTCTCAAAAACAGTGGGTATAGACTGGAAAAAGTGCTAGGCAGGAAGTCAAGAAACATCAGGTACAGTATTGGCTCTACCAATAACCCTTACCAGGTAAATGAATGTTAAATGTCTAGCAGGTATGGGACCTGGTATTAAAAACACAACAATGAAGCTGGGCACAATGGTACACACCTGTAGTCTCAGCTACTCAGGAGGCAGAGACTTGAGCCCAGGAGTTTGAGACCAGCCTGAGCAACATAATGAGACCCTGTCTCTAAAAAGAAAAAGAAAAAAAAATAAAAAAAAAAGAAAACCCAAAATACAAACTTGAAAAAGACAGGATCCTTGCCCTTAACAATAAATTATTACAATCCAAGGTGGTAAGTGCTATAGAGAATATGACATGTAGAGAAGAAAGCAATTATTCTTCCCAAAGAAAGCTGAAAATCATGTGCAGGTACTAAAGGCAGCTATCACTTGAATCAAAAGTTGCAGAACAAATAAGATTCACTGAGCAAAAAGGGGGGAAAAACATTTCGGGCAGCAAAAAAGTGTACAGAAAGGCCTAGAAAGGACGGCACAAGTTCAATGTTTCTCTTGGCAGGTGGTAGGGACAACTGAACAAAAGTCTTTTTTGAATTTCAAGGCAGGAGGGTTAATATTAACATTACTTCATAAATATGATAACTACGTTTTAATAAGCCAGACACTATGTTAAGACCATTTACACACTGTGTATCATCTAATCCTCACAATAATCCTGTGAGGCCAAGCACTGTTATTATCTTGTTTTTATAGATGAGAAAAAGCAGAAGTTTAGTAATTTGCATAATATCATACATATAGTTAAGTGGCAGAGCTGGCCAAAATAAAAGTGCTTACACTAAAACATATAAAAGTGCCATTGTTTCCACTGAGCAATTTATGTTTAAACAAACAAAACAATCACTAGAACAAAACTCAATATGATTGTAACTAAGGTAAGATAAAGTACTAATTGTATATTCTGTTTTTTTATGAATGCCACACCCATAACGTTTCAAGGAATTGATAAGGATGTGCAATTAAACCATTATCAAGAAGCAACTAATTAAAATTCACAACATAAAAACACAATTCTCTGATAGGGGTCCCCCACCTCTACCACCCAAAATAGTATTATATAAGCTCCACTTAAATATATGAATGATTGTTTCAGTTCACAGCATACCCAATTTCTGATCACAATTTGACAATGAAAATAGAAGCCCATTAAATTTAAGCTAATAAAAACTTAGGTAGCTTATTTATAAATGAGGGCCATCCATGTCTATGAAAATTCTCTGACTCAACAGCACTAAGGAGAAGAGTCTCTGTATTTTACATGATCAATATGTCCTGTGAAAAAGCACTATTTCAGTCAGATGACCTTATTTTGTAAGTGCAAAAAAGGACAACTAGTTTCTATGAAATTTAACTGAAAATTAATTACCTGGATCATCAGAAATAGCAAACTATGGAATACCTTATTTCAAAAGTTTGAAGTCTTCCTAGATCACTGTACACTTTAAAGTCAAAATATATAATAATGCAAAAATTGAGTGTATATTCTCTGAAAATTAATAATATGCAGTGATATTTATTTTGAGCAATAAATTTCTAAAGTCTGTGTTATTATTCAGCAGGACTGCTTAAAAAATAATGTTTGCAGAGAAAGCCTTACATTTCTTTATTGGTATCAATAGGTGTAAAAATGATTGCTATCTAATTTTTAGATGACAAGACGTTTAATTATTCCCACTATCAGTTTATTTGTCTAATATATTGCAATTATACTCAAAATCTGTCATTATTTTGTATTTCTTTTACTAAAGATGGATTATACAACCCTTTAAGAGCATTTTTTAACCTATAAAAATAACTAGCTTACCTGTTTTTTCCTTTTGTTCTCTATGCCTGAAAAAATGGATAATGTCTTTTGGATTTGCTACCCGATCCACAAATTTCTGGCTGAAGCGAAGAACACTGAAAGGTTCAAAACCTCCACTATAGTCCACCTGGAAATACAGAATAACCCCATGAAGGCTAGGTTTAACAATTTCCCAATTTTCAAGAAACATACTCATCCTTCAGTATTTATAGGGTTTATGCTCAATACTTTTAAATTTATAAATCAATTTGTTACATTTTAAAGATCATGATGGTGTACAATTTATCCTATTGAGAAAATGATTCTTGGAAGATTTATAAGCATAAGCAAAATACTTTGTTTAATGGAATCAAGATATAACAATAATTTCCAGTGTTGGAATGATTACATCTCCCTGTGACAACACTAATAGTCTGGGTACATCCCAGGCACACCATCTAAAAAGAAGGTGAAACTTCTAAACAATTTTCTGAACTTTCACAACAAAATAACAAAACCATCAAAATAAAACACCAACCCTAGATGCATTAGTTAACCGGTCTATCATTTTAGGGATGTGCCTTCCCACTAGACAAAGATGAATGCTGGGAGAATCCAGATAGCAAAGCATCAAATCTGTGAGCTTGGAGAATGATTACCTTCAAAACATGTTATCCTGCTGGAACTAATAATTTCTTTCAAGGCAGGCTCTTTCTTTCTAAAGAAGTCTATAATGCTAAATACACTTTACAAAGAGAAATATCAACTTTCCTTGTAAGAGGTATGATCATTTTCCTACACTAGGTGTTCTCAAAGTATGCTCTGGGAAGCTGCATGCTCCCATCACCAGCTTATCCAGAATGCTCCCAGCCCAACTACCACCCACATACGTTCATCACACATAGCGCTTTCACTACATTTTCTGTTCATTTACCTGATATTTGTTTATTATGTCTCTCCTTGCACCTCCACCTCCTGTAAGCTCAACAAATTTAAAACCTCATCATTTTTAGCATCACTGTATCCCCCAGCATCCATAACAGAAGGTATTCAATAAGGTTTGTTTAATGAAATAATGAATTAATGAGGCTCCTTTAGTCAATACAATGTAGTTTTGTAATATTATTAATACTTACATGACAATAGCTGCTCTTCTGATTCATGAATTAATTAATAATTTACTGTGTTTAGGGAAGGAAATGCCAGTTTTCTATTTAGGTCTAGTTAGTTCTAATGGTGTCAGACATACATAGATGAGAAAAATGGGATCTTTTGCTCTCATGAAGACTGACTATGTGGTTTCCTTAAAGTAGCTGCCTTTGTATCACCCATAGTCCCAGACCATCTCTACAGATGCCATGTTATAAAAGAAACTGCTAAGTGCTAAAGCTGTTGGGTCTCCCCAAAACTCCTCAGACATTTTAACAAGTATACTCTAGCCTAGCTTTTTATTTGTAATTTTCTGCTCCTAAGAGTCATAAAACTGATTCATTAAACTTTGTTGGGTATCCTCAATGTTCTAGGCACTCTGCTAAGGGCTAGGGACACAACTATAAATAAAACCAATCTTGACTGTCAAGAAAAACACAACTTAACTGGGAAGGCAAACGCACAGATAACTGTAAGCAGAATGTGACTGGTGCTTGCCCGAGCTGAGCAGAGTGGCATCTGGTTGGCAGTGCCCATCTCATAACAGCCAGGGACAAAGCAACCCTATTTGTCCCAGCTTGGCTTTTGGTCTGTGCCCATACATGGTTCATGCCTTGGACACGTGGGTTTAAAAAAAAAAATTAAAAAAAAAAAATGGAATTGGTGCTGTCAGAGGTATCTACAGAGTAGAACAAGTACATAGAGGAAGTAGCATCAACTTTGAGGGGAGGTCAAGAAAGGCTTCCTCGAAAAGGGAGGCTTGCAGGCTTAGGTGGGTGCTGATAGAGGTGTAGAGAAAGGAAGAGGGAAGTGCGCTCCATGCAACAAGATCAACATGACAAAGGTTCCAGTGAAACAAACTCCACTGGGTCCAGGGAACAACTTTTGGCCCGATAAGACTAGAGCTTAGGATGTGCTTGCAGGAAGAGGAGGAAGAAACCAAAGAGGTTGGTTTAGACTAGATCATATAGACCCCTGATACTATTCTAAAAAGTTTAGATTTTTTCCTGTTAGTCCCAGGGGATCATTAAGATGTTTTCAGCAGGAAAGACAAGATTGTGTTTTACAAAGACCATTTTGGCATTAGTGTGGGGGAAAAGCTAGCTGTGGGAAGACAAGGAAACTGGAGGCATAGTCCTGGTAGGATGCTGCAGCAATAGGCCAGTAAGTAATAAGCGCTTAGCTACAGCAACGACAGTGGGATACAGAAAAGGGACCACACCACTTACTGTGCATAATTTAATTCACTTGGATCTCATAAATCTATGATGTACAAACCCAGGGACAAGACATCCAGTTGCTCAAGGTCATACACCTAGTGGTAGGGCCAGAATTGAACCCAAGCAGGCTGGCTCTAGACTGGACTCTTTATCCCCTTTACATCCAGAATCCCAGGACTTCTCAAATTTTAATGTGCACATAAATTTCTTGGGGATTTTGTTAAAATGCAGTTGAGTCTAAGTGGTGCCTGAGATTCTGCATTTTTAATAATTTCTAAGGTGATGCCAATGCTGCTGGTATAAGGACCACACTTCTTTAGTACCATGCTTTAGGGGATCCCTAGATGTGCAAATCACATGAAGGTCTGGGTGGGCACAGTGGCTTAAACGTGTAATCCTAGTGCTCAGGTGCTCAGGGAGGCCTAGGCGGGAGGATCGCTTGAGCTCAGCTCAGGAGTTCAAAATCAGCCTGAACAATAGAAAAATTAGCCAGGTGTCATGGCACATGGCTGTCTGTAGTCCTAGCTACTCAGGAGGCTGAGGCAGGAGGATTGCCTGAGCCCAAGAGTTTGAGGTTGCTGTGAGCTAGGGTGACTGGTGCACAGCACCCTAGCCTGGGCAACAGAGTGAGACTCTGTCTCAAAAAGAAAAAAAAAAACAGAAACAAAAACAGGAAGGTCTAAATAAAAATTTGGGAGTCATCACTCTATAGATGGTTGTAAACGCCATATGCCTAGATTGAAAAAGGGGCTAACTAAGGGCTAGGAAGGGATATAGATAACTCAGAGAATGCCAAAGAGTGATGCAGTAAGATGAAAAAAAAATCTACTAGATTCGACAACTGAAGGTCACCTTTTCTACTTGATCCGATGAGGTCACAGCCTTTATTACAGTGAAATGGGGAAGAGAATGTTAGATAAGGAGGATAGGTTATATATTTTTAGGGGCTTGGACGAGAATAAGAAAGACAGGGTAGGAGCCAGGAGAAGGGAAAAGCACAGTGGCTAAGAAGAGGTCTGTGGTTACATCTTTGTTTATATCACTATGGAAAAGATAAGCAGGTTTATTAAGGCACAGAAAATAATTTAAACAATAACAAAAACAAACTGCATGTGTTATAGAGAAAAAAAGAGAAGAAAGTAAGTGAAATCAGGAGCTTTGTAGAGAAGGTTTGGGGAGTTAATGAGGTGGGCCCTAGTGAGGTAACACATAGCAGACTGAGGGAGATAAGAGTGCACCTGACATGCCTAAGAAACCACAATGAGGCCAACGTGCCTGCAACAGAGTAAGAGGAAGAGAGTAGTTAAAGGTGAAGTCAGAGATCACAGCTAATCCATTAAACAGAACGACAAATTATTCAGAAAATGAGAAAAAGAAGAAAATATCAAAACTATCAATTAAACTGTGATTAAGTCAAATCCTTACAGCTTCATTGTTTTTGTCTCCAGTGGTGATTGCTCTTTATTACAATAAGTACTCTTCTTACTACTTTTCAAAAAATCCATATAAACAGTATACTACTATACTTTGAAAATTAATACTTTAATTTATATAAATAGGACTTACTCGAAGGCGTATAAGAGGCTTCTCTGGCTGTTGAGAATTCCCCAGACGTTCCCGTTCTGCATTTTCAAGCATTACTGTAATCTTAAAACAAACATTAAAATTAAAGTATTAAATTTGACTTAAATTGGCTGAATAGCAGCTTATAATGCCTACCATAGGAACTTCTCTGAACTACTTAATCATCTTTATTTCCTTGGTCATTTATAACACCTTTTAAAATATACCTTCTTGTAATGCTCCCACTAATGCCATTCCTTAAAGTTTTTCTTTATAGAAGTTCTAAATAAGATAATTTTTCAATCTCTAAAGTAATTATTTAAAAAAAAAAATTTAAAACATTACTACTGCTCCAATTTTCTACTCATGTTGCAATAAGGCTTCTCTCATTTCACCAGCTTAAAACCAAATAAATCTAGCTTTCTCTGTCATATCATCCATAGGAGACTGACCAGAACATTTAGAAATCTACCTATAAACAAAGGATCTTGGGTTATTTATCTCGGAAGACTTCAAGTTAAAAGAAAGTAATACCATTGTCTTCAAATATCTTAAGTTATGTTATACCATCAGAGGACAAGATTATAAAATTTTAGAATTGAAGAGATCCAAGAACAAAAACACTTGTTCTGGCCAGGCGTGGTGGCTCACACCTGTAATCCTAGCACTCTGGGAGGCCGAGGTGGGTGGATTGCTTGAGCTCAGGAGTTTGAAACCAGCCTGAGCAAGAGTGAGATCCCGTCTCTACTATAAATAGAAATAAATTAATTGGCCAACTAATATATATAGAAAAAATAAGCCGGGCATGGTGGCACATGCCTGTAGTCCCAGCTACTTGGGAGGCTGAGGCAGTAGGATTGCTTGAGCCCAGGAGTATGAGGTTGCTGTGAGCTAGGCTGACACCATTCACTCTAGCCTGGCAACAAAGTGACATTCTGTCTCAAAAAATAAAAACAAAACAAAACAAAAAAACACTTGTTCTTATGAAGAGAACCAAGTTACAAGGAGGCAATACTAGAAGTCTTTTCACAAGTGGTTGAGTGCACAGTGATGAGGTATCTTCAGATGGCCAATTTGATAGCTGAACTCTAGTTGTCAGAAAGGTGCGGTGTATACAATGCTCAGAATGGCCCAAAGGAAAAAAAAAAAAAAAAAAAGAAAGGTGCGGTGCTGGGAATTAAAATCTTCCACCTTATAACTTGGTTCTGAGCTTAGGAACAATACAGAACAAGTGTTTTTGTCCTCAGATCTCTTCTAAGATTTTTAGATCTTAGATTTTCTTGTAAACTTAACAAAGCAGTCTAACTTTTTTTCTTTCTAACAACTTTCTGTGATGATGTTTTGTATCTGCAATATTTAATAGAGTTGCCTTGAGCCACCTGTGGATTCAGAGTACTTGAAATATGGCTAGTACAAGTGAAGAGCTGAATTTTTAATTTTAATTAACTACATGTAAACAGGCACATGTTCTAGTGATTATCATATTGGACAGTTCAGATCTCCAATAGGATATTGTAGGTCAATTCTTTGAATTCAACAAGAATTGACAGAGCACCTTTTTTGCCAGGTACTAGGTCAAACACCTAGGTATTTAAAATGGACCTTTATTGCTTTTGTGTCACCAGCATCTACTTTCCTCTCTGGATTCATGCCACCACTCAAAGTCATTTAGGTGGAGTTGCACCAGTGGATCTCAACCAGAGGTGATCTGGCCCCTCCAGAGGACATATGGCAAAGTCTGGAAATAGTTTTGATTGTTATGACTGGGAAGAAAGGGTACTACTGGCATCTAGTAGGTACGGGCCAAGAAGGATGCTGCTAAACATCCTACAATGCACAGAACAGCTTCCCACAACAAAGAATTATCTAGTCCAAAATGTCAACTGAGCCAAGATTGAGAAACCTTGGGCTGACTCCAGGAAAGGGCATATTACTCATGTCTGGATGCAATCAATGCAAAATCAATCAATCATATAGCATCTTTCTGGCTTCAGAGATTGGGTTTAGGGATGCATACATGACCTCGGCCCAGTGAAACTCAATGCTAGGGGTTTATCTGGAAATACTAAGAAAAAAAATTCAGCTGTAAAGATAACATAAATCTGTGGGCCACCATGTGAAAATGTCTTCCTTATAGAGAAGCTTAACACAGAAACCAGCAGAGTAGGTGGCAGGGGACTGGACATAACAGAAAGAGAGAAATTAGCAATCCTAATTTGAGTTTCTGGAGTCAGTCATCTTGAAACCAGCATACTATTAAACTTTTTAGTTACGTGAACTACAGGTTACACATTGCTTATACAGCTGTGTGACTATGATGACTTACTTTATCTTAGGTTCAGTTCCTTGTATGTAAAATGTAGATGGTAGAACCTACCTACTTACAGCATTGTTGACTGGATTAAATGCTGTCAACAGTGCACAGCACATATAATCAGTAAATATTGATCATAATTATTATCATTCTTTCTACTTTACATGAATTTTATGATAATAAAATATAAAGTAGAAAAACTGGCACAGAGTGAAGAACTGAGTGTCAGTAATTAGTGTTATTAAGCCGTCCACCTACATATTATTAAATGCATTCACCTGATTTCAGTAATGCCTCCAGAATTTCTAGAGGTTTAGGCGTAGCAATCTGCATAGAAAGGGAGGTATGAGAATTATGCTGAAGGTACAGGGTGAATAGCCAACACATCTTAAGATTTTATTTGAAGCACCTTTCAGGGTGAAAGGGACATTTAATAGAGATTATTAGAGAGGCAAGGCTTTCCACATGCACTACAGTATTCTCTTATCCCAATCAAGGCCACTGCCTGCTTTCATAAATAAAATCACAAATTGTCAAATCGGGATTAAAAAGGAGAAAGGATTATGTATATGTTTTTGAAAAGAAGGAAAGAACCTGAAAGAAAGATTTAATTAAGGTTTTTTTCTATATCCAGCATTCCTCAATCTCAATGACTTAAAAAAAAAGATTTTTGACACAACTAAACTCATTTACTGAACAACAGTGGTTCTTTACAGGCTTCATGAGAATGCAACCAATATAAAGGCCTCTCTCTCCTCTATGAAATTATGTACTACAAGGTAAATAATTCCTCAACTAAAGCAGGCCTCAATGACTCTATCTAAAAGAATTACCTTCTCCGAACAGAAGCTTTGTATGGCTTGGGTTACTTTAGGATTATCTGGGTTAAAAATGTCCAGATGATTAGCCAGAACAACATCCTCCATATAAAACTGCCGCACTGTCTGAAGAGGAATTTTCTGCATATTCATCTTCCTCCCTTTAATACGCAGCAAACCAACATGTCTAAAATGGAAAGAAATGAAAATCTAGTCACAATGCAAATTTTCTCAGGAAAATGTGCACATAAAAGCTATCATATTCTCACTTATTTTCTAAAAGTATTTCTTCATAAAATCATACCCTTAAAAATAAATTTTTGGCAATTTAATCTTAACGTTACCAAAGAAAAAAATGGTAAACATTCTTCTTCCCCAGAATAAAATCCACTCATCCATTATTCTTCCTGCTTGAACAAATATATAATCTCATAAGGAAAGACAGACATTACAATAAGTATAGTAAAATGTTATCAAGACCATGAAAACAGTATATATAGACTACATTATGTATAGATGTATTATGTATGTATGTATGTATATACATGTATATACATAAAATGATTTAGCAGAATCATGGGAAAAAACCCAACATACATCCTATTACCATATTCTTTAAACCTATTATTATCATCATAGCAATGAGAACTTGAATAGATTCAAAGGGAAAAACGCATTATAAAAATTAAGTTCAATCACTGTGAAGTACTCTTTTTTATCACATCATTCTCCTAAAGAATTAAAAGAAATGAAATATTCTATAATATTGCATTTGTAACCAGAAGAAAACCTCAATTAAATTCCCTTAACCCTTTGCACTCGGATGTCAAGTGTGACTCTACATGGTTAGCATCGACACGTAGTTTCACCAATGGGGGAAGGGGGATTTTTGTCTATTTTTCCAGTGTCTTTTCTTGTTTTCATTAGCATGAAAGGACAAGTAAAATGTAAATGCAGAGATGGTACACTAACTTCCAGGGGTAGATTATTATCCACTAACTTAGAGCAATGTTTAGATGGAAAGCTCCATGTAATCACACTCACCCTAACAAAAACACAAAGATTGTGTTGTTTGTTCTAACAGAAAAATCAAAGGAGAAGAAGAGAGGCGATTTATATTTGCAAAACTTGTGAATGTAAACCAGGTCTTCATGTGGGTGAATGTTTCAAAAAATATCACACCATGAAAAATTATAGAGATTAAAATTACTCTTTGAATGTATCAATAATTTGAAATATAAAAAATCCAAATAAATAAGTTTGTATGAAAGAAACTCCAGTTTTTATTCTACTGCCGCACTTTGTAAAATCTGGGTATTTAAAAAATTAAATCCCGAGTAGAATAAAGGAATCGAGAAAAAAGCAAGCAAGTGCAAAGGGTTAAATCTCAATTTAAGGTAATTTGTTTATAAATGGACTTTATGAAATTAGTAGTCATCACCTGTAGCATCTAACTTAAATGTAATAAATAAAAATGTTAGTCTTGAATATGCCTAATGAGTACCAAATCACTAACACCAATTGCATGCCCTGTTACTGAAAATGGCTTAAAATCTGGGAAAACAATAAGACTATACAGAATGATCAATCTTCATAAATAAATCTATCACAGAAATAATAATACTGCCAGTACCCTGAACTTATGGGATGATTAGATTATTCTAGCAAGGATTTCTTAGAAATTGATTTGAAATATATAACAATTACTTACTTCTTTACAGCTTCTCCTGGAGAAAGAGAAGTAACCACTGAACTTCCAGGTTGTGATATATAAAAGAGTTGTTGTTCATTTTTGGTTGGAGCTATTTTACACTCATGCTCATGGCCCCAAATAACAAGATCAATGAAGTCATCCAAAAATTGTTCTGGAATAAAGTTAGTGCTTCCATGTTTACTCCTAAACCAAGATTTTGAAAAATAAATAATGTAAATTTATAATCATATAGAAAAATTTCATATTAGGTCTCTAAAGGTCTTTTGATCCATTCTCTGAAGATTTATTACATCATTTTATGTGCCAGAAACTGTGCAAGGGATTAGAAACGCAAAGGTAACTAATATCTAATTCTTGACCTCACCAGGTTTATAAACTTGCAGAACACAGAGAAGTAGGAACCTTAAAAAAGGAAACAGTCAATTCTACATTTAGAGGAAGATCATGAAAGGCTTTATGCAGGAAGGACTCCCCCTTTGGTCATGTCAGAAAAGCATAAACTTTATCAATAGCAGAAACCTATAAATCAGTATGATTGTATACCAAAAAAATGAATATGGAAAATGAAATTGAGTTAAGTATAAATGTCCAATAACTTTTTTAATGTTGTCTTTTTTTACTGATTATGAAAATAATGGGAGTAAAAATGTCAATCTTACATATGAAATAAGAGTTTCCAATATCAAATATTGTACAAATAAGTGATTTGCAAACTCTGGTTTTATACCTAGACTAGTTTTTTAAAGATATATGAAACCCCAAGTGAAGACAAGAAGGAAACGTTTTCCCTAACATTAACTTATATCATTGGAGATTTAAGTTAAAGTGTTCAAATACTTCAACCTAGCATTTGCATAATCCAAACCAATAGTCTTTCATTCACCCAACAAATATCTACTTCATGCTAGACATGCCAGGCTTCTTCAAGACATGGAAGACACAGCAGTGGACAAAGTCCTTGCTCTAGTGCAGGAATTAAGCAATATACATTGAGCATCCCTAATCCAAAAATCCAAAATCCGAAATGCTCCGAAATCTAAAACTTCTTGAGTGCCTACATGACACAAGTGGAAAATTCCACACATAAGTACTTTTTTGAGAGAGACAGAGAGAGTCTCGCTTTGTTGCCCAGGCTAGAGTGCTGTGGCATCAGCCTAGCTCAGAGCAACCTCAAACTCCTGGGCTCAAGCGATCCTCCTGCCTCAGCCTCCAGAGTAGCTGGGACTATACAGGCAAGCACCACCAGGCCTGGCTAATTCCTTTCTATTTTTCAGTAGAGACTGGGTCTCGCTCTTGCTAAGGCTGGTTTTGAGCTCTTGACCTCAAGCGATAAGCGATCCTCCTGCCTTGGCTTCCCAGAGTGCTAGGATTACAGGCATGAGCCACCACACCTGGCCCACACATAAGTACTTAACATAAACTTTGTTTCATGCATAAAATTATTTAAAATCTTGTTAAAATTATCTTCAGGTTATATGCATAAGATATATATGAAACATAAATGAATTTTGTGTTTAGACTCTGGTCCTATATCCAAAATATCTCATTATATATGTGCAAATATTCTAAAATCCAAAAAAATCCTAAATCAGAAACATTTCTGGTCCCAAGCATTTCAGATAAGGGATACTCAACCTACTATACAATACGTACATGCTCTCGTGTGTGTACGTGTGTTTAACTCAACAGGCAATGATAGGTGCTATAAAGAAAAATAAAGGGAAAAGTTACATGAAGGGGCATATTATCCTCCATATACATAGGGTAGGCAGGAAAGGCCTCTCTGACAAGTAACAACTGAGCAGAGAACTGAGATGAAGGATAGTATGCAAGGGAAGAAAGTCCTAGGCTGGGGAAGAGCAGATGGCAAAGGTGCTAAAGTAAGAAAGTGTTCATAAGTTCAGGGAGATCAGTGTGGCTAAGCAGAAGGAATGCAGGGAAGACAGTGGAATCAGAGAAGAAGCAGGCTGTGTATCCAGGAATTTTTTTTTTTAAATGTAAAAAACATACATCTAGGGTATGAGATTATCACGATTACTAAAAAAAAGCAGGATAACTCTCAAATACAACATGATGCCATTGTGCCTTCATGGAGTGCTGGCTCTTTCAGAGATGACACTGGTAGGCTGGTTCTAATTTGTGACCTAGAAGCTGATCGAAACATCCTTGTTGATAGATTCTGCACAACAAAATCCACTTCTGATTCTTCCTTCTTTTGCACAGAGGTAAAAAACCCATCAATGTAGAGAAACAAACGGGAAATAAAATAAAGTGTAGAAGACTCAAGAATTCTCAATCTGAAAAATCCTTCTGTTTTTTTTTTTTATAACTCTTATGAAAGCAATAACAAAAGAAGTTATTTATGAATGCACAGGTGACAAATGAATCCTAGCAGTGTTGCAGAAGAACCACATAATCTCAGTGCAGGGAGTGGGAAGAAAAAGAGCTAACAAAGTAACTTTGGAAAATGGTGTTTTGACTAAATATACTAAGGGTAAAGACTAAAATAACTTACATAAACATTGTACCCAAGTTGGCAAATTTGTTTCTGACATGGGTATGGATTAGCAATTTTGAAAATACTTTATATGCAAAACCATCATTGAAATAATAAGTAAATATATTGTAGATAATAGAATCTAAGCTTCTGCTTGAGAAAGAAGTCATCATGAGGAAGGGAGAAGACATAAATGGACCCTGTAGGGCTGGATTAGAATCAGCGTGAACTCATAGTTGTTTCTTTAACATATATATAGACAAATATAGAAATACAGATGTGTGTGTATATGTGTGGGTTATTATACATATCAATACAAATATATTTCCTTAACTCTGTTTGCTGAGAGGGCTGAGAGAGTCGCATAGCAATGAGCACAGCCAGTACCAACAATAAAAAATAATACAAATTTAAAAACAATACAGTATGACAAATATTTGCACAGCATTTATATTGTACTAGGTAGCATAAGTAATCTAAATTTAAAGTATACAGGAGGATGTGTACAGGTTACATGCAAATGTTACTCCATTTTATATAAGGGATTTGAGCATCTGAGGATTCTGAAATCCACAGAGCATCCTGGAACCAATCCCACCTTGGATATAGAAGGATGATTATAATAAATTATATAATCAGGCCTCAACTCTCTCAGATTCTTTCTCTACAACTTCTCAGGTTTGTCCCTCCCATCTCATTGCCATCACTGTCCCAATCTCACATTTTTTACTGCAATGATCACATAATAACTCTTGCTTCTTTAAGTCTCTCTTCCTTTCACCCGTACCTTACCAACAGATTATACTTCTTAAAGCTACTAACAAAAGAAAGCTAATCTAGTTATATACTCATATTCTGGAAAAAAACCTGCATATATGCACCGGTACATGTGTATAAGAATGTTTATAACAGCAAGGTGTATAAAAGCAAAAATCTGGGAATGACATATTAACTATTCACATCAGTAAAATTGAATTGAATTTCTATGCAGCAAAATCGATGAATCTCAGTAATGTAATGTTGAGCATTAACTATTAAATATACAGCATGATACAATTATGAATATATATGTGATTAAACAACAAAGAAAAATAATGGAATGATCAATCCAAAATTAAGAATAATGAGGAGGCAGATAGGATCAAGGAAAGGGATGGGATAATGTACTGATTTAAGATTTTACATTTTTGCTGAATTTAGGAATATTAATTCTATGGTTATTATAATGGCTTATCCATATGTTAAAAATATTATTTTATAAGTATTAATATACACTAAGAAAATATTCAAAACGAACTCACACAAAGCTAAATTTTGCCTGATCTTGCACTAACAACCTTGAAAGATTCAGGGCATTTAACTGAAACTGATGTGCTTAGAAACAGAGATTTGGAAAATCTCAGTACTTGGCTCAAAAAGTTTCAGAGAATACTTTTACCTGTTCTGATGAATCACAAATAAGTTAAACCAAGAGTTCTCATCTTCTTTTGGTCTCAACATTGTTACTTTTTTATTGACAAACATTCGATAGAGCCTTTCATCCGGAATGGAGCCTGAAATGGACATTACATTATTTTTAAATTGTTTTCTTACTTCGGTTTAAAAAAAAATGAATATATTTTGCTTCTAAATTATGTGTTGTCTGAAAGTATTTCATTTTACTGTTTAGAGATATATTGGAATTCCAGAATGATTCATTAATGAATATGTTCCAGGTTCTTGAGAGCAGTTAATTGTATTCAAAAAATGTTTTACATTTCAGGAGTATGTACCTTTAAAATCAGCAAAATGTGGAATAAACATGTGAGTTGCCTCTACTTAAATTCTTAGTAAAACTTCTAGTTTTCACTATCTTTTTATTATAAATCATAAGTATACATACTTTTGATGTGATGTATACATAACATTCACAGAAATAGATATTGAAAGGGATAAGATTCAGTATTTAAAAACACAGTATTCTTATTTATATTATAAAAACAAAAAATAAATAAAAGTATTAATGCCTTTTAATAATTCAATGACTTTCAAATAATTCTTTTCATATTCCACAGGCTCACCTTGGTCTAAGGGAAGGAAACCAACAAAAACAAGTCAACAAAATAATTACAAATTGTAAATATTATAAAAGGGGGAAAAACTAGGATACTAAGATGGAGAATAACAATACAGGGCAAGGGTACACTGATTAGAAAAGGTCTTAGAGGAAAAGCCAACAACATCGAAGTACGGGAACTAGAAGTGGCCCAGCGCCCAAAGAGAATTCCTCAGGTGTGGCCAATGGACTAGATGGCTGAGGTAGAACACTGAACATATAACTGAGACAAAACAATCAAGGCATTCAAAGCCCAGGACATTAGGAAGTTAATCTACTTAGGTGTTGGAAGCACTGAGAACACTGACAAAATTAAAGGTGGGTAGGTAGGTAAGAAATCTGGGGGAAAGGGGAAGGTGGTTTAGCCAGCCGGCATAAGCCTCAAAGGAGCAGGGTGTTTGCGGGCAGGAAGGGAAGTGGTGGTGGGTAGTAAGGAGAACAATGATCCACTCCTCTGCCCAAAGACCATGAGTGAGAAAACTCCATGAGACACAGGAACTACAGGGCCCAGCTGGGCTTCACCAAAGGTCAGAAAATGGAGGCAACATTCAGAGAAGAGAATGACAACACTGAGGACTATGCCCATTACAGAAAGACTTCTAGAGTTTCCAGGGAAGGGTTGGGGTGAGGGTAGGGGTGGAGGGTGGAGACAGAGTTCATTTAAGGAAAGAAGAACAGGATGAGACAAGAGTTGGCAGAAAATGGATGACTGAAGAGATGTGTTTCTGGTGCTGACTGAGGCATAATGTATCTGTCCTTAGTCTGAATGTAGGAGAAACCTTTTTTTGGAGACTTGATCCCTAACTTTGCAGTAATTAAAACAACTGTTACAAGCTTTCTTTTAAAAAAGTATATTTCACTTCTTGCTCTGTCAATTGCAAAAGCAGACATAATACCCAGACCTCATTTTCCATATTTCTAAAATATAAACACCTCTGCTGCTTTTCTATCTACTTGCCAGAGATTATGAAAGCTGGACAAAGGCTGTAAACTAGTGGCTACTGTATTGGAAAGCGAAGCTTTAGACCTTTCAAAGACTTTCAAAATATCAAAATGCAGTTTTGCTAATTATTCTATAATTCTAACATTCAGGATTCTGTATCTGAATCTAAAAGGAAAAAAAATAATAAATAGATAGTAAAAGAAAAATATTTTTCACCCAAACTGCTATTAAAAACAGGTATTAACAGCTATTGGTCCTTATTATATACTAAAAAATTTTTACCAAAACCTTTCATCATTTTTTTACAAACTCACCAATAAGGAATAATCAGATTTGCCCCACTTTTGCTGAAGTTATCTCTAAAATCCTATTTCCTAATTGTTTAAACGATCACTTATTGACATAAATAATAAAGTAAAACCATCTTACCTAAACCATACAGTGCAATTTTTGTGCTTCCTTTTTGAAGCAAAACTGGACTAATGTCTATCTTCTCCACAGACATTGAACGTCCAAAGTGATTTACAAATCCAGCACAACTTAAAATATCCAGGGCACAGAGTGCATCTGCCTATGCAAAATAATTTCAAAGAATATTAATGTGTATATAAAAATAGGTGATCTGTATGCATATCACCTGTTAAAAGCATACTTCATGTACTAGTTACAAAAACACAGAGGAGGATAATGTCTTCTTAAAACAAAATTACAAAAGTAAAAGTATTTGCTACCTTTCTTCTATTTCAAATCACCTACAGCAACTGGAATCACATACTAAATACAAAGTTAACATCTCATCAAAGTTTATCATGATGTCACTAAAAATAATAAACATCAGCCATGAAATAAATGCTTTGTAATATTAAGCAGACCTCTTAAAACCTGGGGAGAGAAGACTATAATTAGTGATTCATAATATTAATAACCAGATAAAACAAAAAGATCCTTTGAGCTTAGTATCTCTAATTTTACTGCCACATCAAATAGGTAATAAAATAATCTAATTTAGATTTAAAGATGTTTGTAAAACAATCATTTCCTGTAAGTGAGATTTTATAAGACAGACAAAAAAGCAATAGTAAACCGTAAAGCACTTTACAAATATTAGATATTTATTCCTACATCTGGCTACTTATTGTTAACCTTAGCACTCATGAAGTAAAAACATAGCTCATACACCAATTCTTATGCCAGATTAAAAAACAATTAAAAAGCAATATAAAAGCTTATGATGATTAAAAAGTCAGTTTGACTTTTTGATTCAATATGACTATAAATTGCTAGGAAAAGGGAAAGGAATACTTTCCACAGACTAAACTAAATATTTCTAAAATTTGAACTATAATAAAACAATAATTACCCCCGTGGGATCATCATGATTGCCATGAATACTAAACACTGGAATTGAAATGTTGAGATTGCCATCTTGGTAGTTCACCCATGGAAACCTTAAAAAAATAAAAAGTTAAGTAAAGTTTCTATAAGGGACAAAAGCTGTTTCCCCTAAGATTCTCCTCCAAAATATTAATGCAATCATAGGCAAACTGTATGCTCTGAATTGGCAAATGACCACTAGTTCAGAGCTTTAAAAATGGAAAAAAAAAAACAAAAAAACATAGGCAGCAATACATTTCAATTAAAGTTCGAAAATACTTTGACATACTACATTTTACAGAAAACCCAACAACAATAAATGGTGCTTGTGAATTGTATGAAAGAGTGGGACATGTGATTAATAAAAACTTAATAGGCCTTCAAAATTATGAAAACCTTTGTGTAAAGTGTTTATTTGTAGTGCGGGGAGAGGAAAAAACCCATGTACTTTAGAATCCAAAAGACCTAGATTACTACTCTACCTATGCAACTTAAAGTCTCCTGCCAGCTCCTGTCCCCAGCCTCTCTTCTCAGAGGCAAAGAATGTTAGCAATTTCTAGTGCATCTTTCAAAAAGATCTTATACCTATACAAGTTTATGTGTTTGTGTGTCTTATATGAAAGTATTATACACAAGTAATCATTCACTCGAGCACACAAATATACTTACTTACTAAAACCAAAGTTGACTGACTGATCACTGATAATTTCAAACTGGACAGGACGATCACCCATACAGTATTTTCTTAACAGCTCGAGGCAGGTATGTAATGTTTTCCTTGAGGGCTTATTTTCATGAAAAAGATCACCACCTAACAAAATAAAATCCACCTAATCAACAGAAAATGGTGTTAAAATTAGTAGGTTTTACAGGTAAAATTTTTGTAAACTACAGATGAAAGAGGTAGAAAAAAACACTACTAAGTAAGATGATTTAAAATTTTACATTTTATTTATCCAAAGCGGCTTCCAATCTGGCAATTAATCTCACTCCAATTTACGTTACCAAGCCACCTTCAAAAAGGCCATCTTTAAATTAGTACACCAAGTCCCTGACTCAGGCCATCCAAGGTGATCATATTTCTTTTTTTATTATTCAAATCAAACATAAATTTGGCACTTTAATAGAAAGTACAGGAAAGAGATACCAAGTTCAATTCAAATTATTCACTCAATTCATTCAACAATTATTCATAGAATTCCTATAGGTACCAGTAGGTAAGGAAATAGCAATCTACAAAATAGATGATGTCCCTGTGTCATTAAGTACTGACGAGGTGCAAGACCCTGTAATGGGCCCTAAGGATACAATGATGAATAAAATATGATCCCTATCCTAAATATGTTCACATTCTAATGGAAGAGACAAACTGTTATGCACCTAAATGTAAGTCAATCTCTGACATAAACTGGAATGAGTATGTAAACAACCAGCAACAGAAATGACATTATAGTGAATTCCAACTCAGGGGAGCACAATTCATCTGAGGATAGAGTCCAGGAGGGATGTGCTAACTTGGGGCATATGAGTTGTACTATGAAGGATAAATGAGATTTTGAGGAACAGAGTTCTAGGAACAATCTCAGTGAAGGAGGGAAAAAAAGTCTTATACTCTCTTTCAGGAAGTACATAATCTAACTAAAGAAACTTAAGTTCTTAATTATACAAAGGAACACTGAAATACAGATCACTGTGGCCATAGTATTAATAGCTAGGGGAACTTTAATAAAAATGTGGGATTTAAGGATTTAGGCTAGGGCTTCAAGAAGAAACATGATTTAAGAAAAATGATCATAATAAAGAGATGGAATCAACAAAACAAAAAATATATTTGGGGAAATGAGGAGTTGTTGCTTAATAGGTTATCACCTTTGCAAGACGAAAGGAGTCCTGGAGATTGGTTGCACAGCAATATGAATGTACATAACACTACTGAACTGCACATTTAAAAATGGTTAAGAGGGTAAATTTTATGTTATATATTTTTTGCCATTATTAAACCATTTTTTAAAAATATTATTAAAAACTGGCTTTTAGTGACTCCAGGAAACATTGAGAAGAACTCAACACGCTTCTGTGGTATTCCTGCCAAAAGCGTAAAATTTGAATCTAATCATGAGGAAATACCTGATATATACAGTTTGAGGAACATTCTACAAGATAACTGGCCTGTGTATTCTTCAAAACATCTGGGTCATGAAAGACAAAGGCTGATTCAGGAAATGTACCAGATTAGAGAGGAAAGAGAAATTACAACTAAATGCAACATATAATACTGGATTAGAACCTGGACACTACCAACCTGTCCCCAAATTACTATACCAGACAATACTGGGACAACTGGCAACATCTTAAGATTATCTAAAAGCATTGAATCAATATGAATTTCCTAGTTTTGATACGTGTACTTTGGTTATACATGCAAGTTACTTCCAAATGATTCAGGAAAAAACCAATTGTGTATAAAGAAAGAGAAGATAAAGCAAATGTGATAAAATGTTAGAAAATCTGGGTAAAGGGTAAGGAATTCTTGTACTATTCTTGTACTTTTCCATAAGTCTGATATTCTTTCAAATTAAAAGTTTTCAAAAAGAGTCCAAGGAACGAGGCAACAGAAATAAGGCTGGTTAGAGGGCATTGGGTCCATATAACAGAGGTCTTAAAAGTCAGGAAGAATTTAGACTTCAATAGTAAGAAACACAAAATACAAATTAAGGGAAAGAGTGAAAGTAGTATGCATAAGTCCTAGCATGTGGCTATTAGGGGTGGAGCAGTTAAGATTAAGAGATGTAGGGAAAGGAAACAAAAAAAACGTAAGGGAAGGAAAGGACAAAGTAGAGGAAAGCTTACACTGGGGGGGGGGGGATGTTTTAGGGCCTAAGAGTTAAAACATAAGGAGTACATGTAAGATTCTCTGGCAGGAAACAGACTTCCTTTGGCCTTAAGTTTCTCTACCCTCAGGGAAGGAAGAATCCATCTTAAAGGGAGACAATACTAGCCATTCCCTCCATTCAATTAAAAAATGTAAAGGAGTACCTACTGCTCTCTAGATCCTTTCTAGGTACTAGGACACAGCATGATTTTTCACTCTGGTGGTGATTTTTCACTTCTAGTGAAGAAGACTGATAATAAACAAACAATTCAATGCATCGTTTCAGATGTTGCCATGAGAAAAAAATAAAGCAGAGTAATGTGACAAAAGAGTACATGGAGGTATCAAGGAAGACCTCTCCAAAAAGGTAAAACTTGAACTGAGAAATCAACCCTGCTAAGATAGAGGTGCTCCAAGCAGAGAGAACCAAACATACAAAAGCCCCAAAGTAGAATAAGCCAGTGTGGATGCAGACTGTAAAACAGGCAGATAGCTGTAGGAAACAAAGTCTCCTGGTAGGGCCCCAGATCATGTTGAACCTTGTAGAATGCATTTTACTCTAGAGTCAATGGAAGGCCATTTGGAAAAGTTTAAGCAGCAGAGGGACATGATCTGATTTATTATTTTAAAAGTTCACTTTGGCTGCTACACTAAATAGATGTAGGGGAAAAGAATGGAAGTAGAAAGACCAACGGGGAGCTACTGCAGGCCAAGCAAACTATGATAAAAGTTTTGGACTAAGTTTACTGGCAAGATAGAGAGTAGTAGAGAGGTTCCATACGTATTTAAGAAGAAGAACTAAAGGCCTCGCAGATAAACTGCAGAAAAGTCAAGGTTAGAGATGTTAATTTACAAGTCACCAGCATTATTCTCCAACTCTCTCCTGGGCTCTAGACTGACATTTCAACTGCCTGATAGAACTCCCCTGAATGTCCTATTGGAATCTCCAACTCTAAATTTGTCTAAATCAGATTCATCACCCTCCCGCATAAAGTATCTCTTCCTTATTTACTCATTTCTATTATTGATATCCCCACTCACTCAAATGCAACACACTTCAGAGTCAACGTCACCCTCTTTTCCATCATCCCCACCTCCTACAGCCAAAGTACAAAAAACCTACCTTTGTAATATCTTTGCATTCACTTCCTTTTTCACCCTTAATGCCAACACTTTTAAAAAACATCAAACTGCCGGGCGCGGTGGCTCACGCCTGTAATCCTAGCTCTCTGGGAGGCCGAGGCGGGAGGATTGCTCGAGGTCAGGAGTTCGAAACCAGCCTGAGCAAGAGCGAGACCCCGTCTCTACTATAAAATGAAGAAGATTAATTGGCCAACTAATATATATACAAAAAATTAGGCGGCATGGTGGCGAATGCCTGTAGTCCCAGCTACTCGGGAGGCTGGAGCAGGAGGATTGCTTTGAGCAGGAGTTTGAGGTTGCTATGAGCTAGGCTGACGGCCATGGCACTCACTCTAGCCTGGGCAACAAAGCAGACTCTGTCTACAAAAAAAAAAAAAAAACAAAAACATCAAACTGATCTCTAATTCATCCTATAATACCCTGCTGCCAAAAGACTTTTTAGCACAATTGGGTACAAACTCTCAATCTGTCATTGAAGCCCTCTTAATGCATCTCAAACCCTCATTTTAGTCTTTCAGCAGCTTGCTAACACGTGGCCTGCTGGTAAGCCAAACTGACCTGCTGGGTCCTCAACATACCTCATATGTCTCACTCGCTGCTTGAAATGAATGGTACACTCCCTAAGCTCCTCACTTGTCCTAAAGTCTACCCTCTTCAAAAGCCCCTGTTAAATGCCACCTCCTTCATTAAGTTTGCCTTGCTATATGCTCATGTTAAATGTGATCTCCTTCCACCCTCTAAACTCTCAGGAAATGCTGTTTATAATTGTTCTATGGCTCTTACCACACACCGTACACCTGAGCATTGTGGATATTGTTGTCTTAGCCACAAACATACTGGTTTGTATGTATGTTCTCTGAAAGCAGAACTTATGACAGTCATCTTTACATTTCAAATAGAAACTGCACAGGATCCTGCACTTAGTAAACACCTGATAGACATTTATAAATTTTAACAGACATTTGTAAATTTTACTATTTACAAAAGCAGCTCCTACTCGAATTAAGGACACACAACATACAAAGTCTACTTTAGGCTTTTAGTACACTGATATTCAAGTAGGCAATCTGTACCCCTGAGCTTATAACACAAATCTCTGACTTCGGAAAGGAAAAGAACCTGTTGACTAAGGGAATATAGTAGAAATTGCACAAATATAAACCAAACTCACTTCATTTTCCTGGGCAAGTGTCTTAAAATTTCATCAAGTGTTACAAATGTATCATTTCCTCTGCTGCATTCTTTCTCCATAAATCCAAGATGAATATCCGTTGCAACTAAGATTTTAAATGTATTTTCATCATCACTGTATTAAAGAAGAAACATTCAATATAATTCACTGGAAAAGATATTAAAACAAATTGGAGACCTAAACTTATAAAATAAAAAATAGCAGTTACAGAGTAAAGTCATTTGCTAGTCTTAGACTCTGTCTGAAAATTTGAGGTATTCAACAGATAATTAACATCACATAGTTTTCCTAACCACTAATTCAACATAGAACAAATGTACACGAATTTTATAAAGGTTCTCTAACTGCTTTAAAGATGTATAACCTTGTATGTAACATGGACCCGAAACTTTGCTTGTTTTCCCCTTTTGCTTCACAGCAAAAATGAGCGGGGCTTTGACCCATATATCTAACCTTGCTGTTTATCTAATTTTGCACTTTTCCAGGAAAATCAGTTAATTAAAAAGTCGTCTTCTAATTTTATAAGTAGATTTTATACTAATATGCTACTAACTTACATTAAGGTCCTGAAGACACTTTCTTAACATCACTGTCTATAGAAAGCTAGTTTTTTTTTTTTTTTTTTTTGAGACAGAGTCTCACTTTGTTACCCAGGCTAGAGTGAGTTGCCGTGGCGTCAGCCTAGCTCACAGCAACCTCAAATCCTGGCTCAAGTGATTCTGCTGCCTCAGCCTCCCGAGTAGCTGGGACTACAGCATGCACCACGATGCGCCGGCTAATTTTTTCGGATAGAGGGCAATTAATTTCTTTCTTTTTTTATAGTAGAGACGGGGTGTCGCTCTTGCTCAGGCTGGTTTCGAACTCCTGACCTCGAGCAATCCGCCCGCCTCGGCCTCCCAGAGAGCTAGGATTACAGGCGTGAGCCACCGCGCCCGGCCTGAAAGCTAGTTTTTCATTATTAAATTTGCCAAGTTAACAAAACAGAATTGTTTCAATCTAAATTAAATTTGCTAGTATTCAAAGGTATTTTCATGTAAAGCAGCAATGTAGTAGTTATTAATATTCTTTTAAACTTAATGTACTTTTAATTCTTTAAAATACTTGTATACCTGAGCTCATCTCAACTCCCACAAGTAAAGAGGCAGGCATTAATATTCCTGAAAAATGATAAGTCTAAACACAGAGAAATTAAATAATTTATCACACAACTAGTGGCAGAACCAGAACTAAAACCCACAATGAAAACTCAGGCTATTTTCTCTAAACCACAATAAACTTTAAAAAATATATTGTATATATCTCCAAATTCAAATTTTTATATGCAAAAGATATTTCCACAAAGGATCTCTCTTTAAAGACTTCAAAAATGATATGCACACAGTTCTGATTGCTATATATAAGCAGGTAGGTCAGAATATTTTTGAGATCATATGACTACATGCTTTCATAGCAATTTAAAATGTGTTTTCACATGAATTCTCTCAAACCTCAAAATTAATTTGAGAATGGCATTATTATTCCAATTATACAGATGGAGAAACTGAGGGCTCAGAAAAGTTTTTTCCACATAACTTTTACAATCCTTTTATTTCCATTTTACTCAAATTCATTTACAGTTTATTCAATACTAGAGCAAGTTACTCTAAATATCTATTTAAACAGAACTACACTAAGATTTCATCAGGAAAAGTCAAGTTTATTTTATTTTTTTTTTTCTAGGGGAGTTAATACAGTTGTAGGAAAAGTCAAGTTTATAGCTTCAATAATTTAAGACAAAGCCTAAGAACAAAACTTACATGCTATAGAACTATACCAAATTACTGCAAGACTCCAATCTATAGCAGTATATTATCTTTTAGTTAATAAATACATAGTATGGATTTTTATACATTACAAATATCCTTTTTGATGACTCACATTCCTGTTCATAGCCAGGTTCCTTACCTACTGCTAATTTATTAAGCTGCTAATTTATTTTAAAATTTTTCTTTTATGGTGATCATACCTGTTGGGCTTTAGAAACCCAAAATAACAAAGGATTCTAGAAGTCACATGCTTACAGTGCATCTGCAGGACTCATTTTTACAGGCAGTCCAGATCCTCTGGGACCAGATTCCTCTCCAAGAACCCCTGGGTCTTGTGTTCAAGTATATCAGAAAGTACACTCGATTCCAAATTCTGAAAACAAAATTACATCATAAAACACAAAATTTTTAAAAGGCTGCATGTATTTAACCAACATAACAGAAACTGCACACAGTACAGATGTCTTACATAAGTAGTTGACAATTTTGGAAACCTCATTTTCATCTAAGCACTCACTTATACTTTGTTTTAATGTGATATGCTAAGAATAGAAAACATCTCTGGTGCCATTCTAGTTTCACCATTATGATTAAACTTATCTCTTATTTTCGTTTTCCACACTCCTATGGAAAATTAATGAGTGTTAAATAGGCAAAAAGGGTCACATATAGTTCTGGTTTAGCACACAAACTCTGTATGTGCAGAAACGTTTAAGTTGCATGCATGGTTTACTCTGGAGCACAGAGACAATCCTGTATTTCCTGCTCTGACACAAGATTTTTTTCAAAGGACGGGGCTTGTTTTTGAAGAATAGGTAGTATAAATAAACAAAAAGCTAGTGTTTAAAGCGAGTGTAAATAAACACGTGGTCTGCGGAAAAACATCTTTAGCCTCCAGCAGGACAACTGAAAATGACCAACAAACTTGGAGAGGAAGGGTTGCCACCGCGAAACAACCCCTCCCACGTCTTAAGTTCCAGACTCTGTCGGGATAAGAAGCTTCCCCTCGCCCTCGACACGGGATTCTGAAGTCAGAACGAGGAGCCCTCTAGAACCCCTTCCCGGCCGACTCGGCCCATCTTCCCAGAGAGTCCAATTCACTCTGGCCTTCCGCCCTGGAACCTGCAATAATAGGAGACGGATGTGATTCCTAAATTACCCCACACCTGGACTCTTCAAAGCCCCACCATCGGGACCCAAGGCCGTCTTCTATCGGGCAAGAAACAGCGGGATTCGTGAGAAGAAAACCAAACAGAACTACCCGAGCTTGCCTCTGAGAACCAGCTGGTCCATAAAGCTGAATTAGGCGGGATCTGTTTCTCTCGCGATACCTTCTGGATGACGTAGGCGCTGCAAGCCCAGTTTGGCTTTCATTGGCTGCCGATAGGCCACGGAGGGCAGGGAAAGTAGCGGCGAGGCCCCGCCCCCGCACAGGAGCCAATCCTAAGCAGCCGAGGGGACGAACCCGGAAGCGAGATCCGCGGCGGCGATTTTCCCTGGTATAAGGTGGGTAGCTCTAGCGTAGTCTCCGACCTCGCTTGCTGGTAAACTCGCGCCATCTGTGAACTCTTGGGCTCGTTCGGGCGGGGGACCTGTCGACCCAGGTCAGGCCCCGTCTTAGGTCCCAGGGGTAGGCCGAAAGCTGCTTCTCCGCTCTTGGCTGTTGGAAGGCCGCAGGCGGGACTCCCGGGCCTGTGAGTGACCAGCGGGTGCCAGAGGGCCGGAAATGGCAGCCCTGTCCCTTACTCTCACTCTGTAGACCCTAAGGTTTACGGGCCTTTATTCTGTGCTTCCCCTTATTGTCGTCCCTGTGTCCTCAAGCCTATGTCTATTGCTTTGTGCTGAGAACGGTAAGATGTAGGGCAGTGAAAAATAATGTGGAACTTTTGAATTAGAGTATCTGGCCTTTCAGTTCCATTGAAGAACCTTTGATATAGGGCAAGTTGTTTTAATCAATGCGAGCCTCAGCACTCCAACCTGTAAAAGGGGGGTTGTAGCCCCGCCTGTCACTGAGTAGTTTTTGAGGAGTTGACATAGGCTCTCTTTCAAAATGGAAAGTGCTCTTTAAGTTAGGAAACATACCCTATAATCTCCTGATGGAATATCATCACGTAAGAAACTTGCTCGATTTTTTAAAATCTCTGAATCAGGTAGATACACCGGGGTTCGATTTTTTAAATTATATATACCAAGAAAATTTTACATATGATTTACTGTATCTGGATCTATAAATTCAGAATTTATATAATGAGAGGGGAGTTTTTACAAAAAGGAAAGTCATGTTGAGGGAAGGGATTAAGATCTGGGCTATAATGTTAGTATATTTGATATAATTACACATGAAATTTACATTATTTATTGGCATCCATTAAGTGTTTAATGAATTGATGCATGATCACTTTTGTGTTGTTGCAAGGTTCAGGAACTAGTTTGAGAGTAAAGGAAAAAGTGGTAATTCTAAGAGGTCTAATAAAACACAAAGCAATTCTGATGAGGTCTCTCAATAGACTGAAAAGCTGAGCGGGTTTCAGAAATCCTTTAGCACAATCCTTACATTTTATAATGAAGTAACAGACCCAGTGAAGTTATTGGTCATAACTCATAATTTTAAACTTGGGTTTAGTGCTTCTGCCCTTTGTAATAAAATATAATACCACATTAGGATTGTGTACTATTAAACTTATGAAATTAGGTAGAAAGAATCAGTATCTTAGGGATATGCTTAATTCTGGAACTTCTCAGAATCCATTCCAATCAAAATCAAGTGATGGGACTTTAATGCTACAAATATTTCTTAATGCCTGGTGTATACAAGTGGGACATAAATGTAAGTTAAATGTGGTCCCTATCCCTAAGTTTATAATCTTCAGGGGTTAAAATAAGAACAAAGTTAATGGTGAAATAAGACAAAATATAGCTACAAAAAAGGTAGAAAGCACAGATCTAATTGGGAGTATCAAGAAAGAATGTTCATCTTCTACAGTTGTCTTAAAAAAAAAAAAAGAAAGAATGAAAGAGATAAAATCTGAAGAGCTTTGAAAGACTGATAAGATTTCAACAAATATAGTTGGGAGGCTGAGAAGTGGTATTTTAAAATTACCTATTAGTTATTATCATTTTCTTTAACTGACTGAAGCTTATATGCTGTGTAACTCTTTAAGCTGATACTGGTTTATAAATTAATATGGCAGGCTAGTAGAGTAAATCACTTCCTCCAGGAAGCTTTCCTTATTTCCTTAGGACTAGAAGAATTTTGACCCTCCTGTATACTCATGATATCCAGATGTGATCCCATCATAGTACTTACTGTGTTGTCTTTGCCAGTCGCTTCCACTAGACAGCAAGCTCCTAGAGGTGAACATGTGGATCTTATTCATTACTGAATCCTAGTACCCAGAGACTGGCACATACTGGACATTCTATTCATAGTTGTGAATGAAGGAGTGAATTGACAGCCAAATTCAGTTAAAAACAAGGAATAAGAACTATAGATGTCTATCAGTGAATAGGACTACTTTTTAAAGCAGTGAATTTTCCTAGGCCTGAAATTATTAAAGTAGAAATAGATCTTATTTCAGATATTTTGATAAAGATATCTGCATGGATGAGAGATCGGGAGGGATGTCCTTTTGGGGGCTAGTCTATCTTTAAGAATCCCTAATTCTTTGAAGTGTTTTTTAGGAACTAGAAGTTTTTGTTTTATACACTATATTATCTATGTGTCTATAAAAATCTTAAATGTACTTGCCTTTATTATATTAGTTAAACTTTAAAAACTTCATCATTTTTAGCATAATATCTAAACCAATAGATTTGAAACAATAGTTAAAATAGTAAAACAGTTATGATAATATGGTTGACTTAGTAGAAAAAAACAAAAAGAAGAGTTAGACCATTAAAGGTAATAGATTACTGAAATCTGTCAGCTCCAATATTTAGTATATGTAATGGGTATCATGATAAAACAGCAAAGAGTTTAGATGGGGTTTATTTGTGTATGTTTGCAAGACTATTATCAATGCTGTTGATAAAGCCTCAATTACTGTTTTACTAATAATTTTTTGTGTTTATGATTTCAGATTTCAGATCTTGATGAATAAAATAAAATAGACATAATTCATCCCTAGAAAGATTATTCATACCCTGGAATTTGAAATGCTTTTTATTTAGAATAATAGTAAGAATGGAAAAAGAAAAAGTAAATGATGATGAAAAACAAGACTCAGAGAATTCCTTGGACTTTTCTGAACACTTTAACCAACTTGAATTGTTGGAGACACATGGACACCTTATTCCCACTGGTACTCAAAGTCTCTGGGTAGGAAATTCTGATGAAGATGAGGAACAAGATGAAAAAAACGAAGAATGGTATCAATTGCAAGAAAAAAAAATGGAAAAAGATCCAGGCAAATTGCTTCTTTGGGCTGCTGAAAAAAATCGGGTAAAAAAAAAAGAAACAAAAACCAGAGGGAACCATAACAGTAGGAAAAGCACTGGGTTGGAGCCAGCAGAGCTGTCCCTGACTCTCTATTTGGTTTGTAACTTTGGGCAAATCCTGCCGCTGTTGAACCTCTATTTTCTCATGTATAAAGATGGCCATGATAATACCTACCTTTCTTATACAGGATTGTGGGGATCAAATGAGGAAATATTACATGAAAGTACATGTTAAGCTACAAAGTGTCATATTAGGTACTGTTTGGAGGTTTAAGAGTAATTAACTCTACAAAGATTGCAAGCAATCATCTACATTTTGAAATCATTTGTATTAGTCCTTGGGATCATCCTAGAGATATGTATTATTTAGGAAAGAGAAGATGGGAATTAACACTTATTACATGCCAAGTATACTAGGTGCCTTACTACGTTTAATCCTCACATATCCCACAAGAAAAGTAATATTCTTCTCTTTTACAGAGTAAGAAATTGAGATTCAGGAATATTAATTTGCTTAGGATCATCCAAGTAGAATTAACACCAAAAGCCTGTTGTCTATGCTCAGCCACTTCCACCTCATTTTACTCAGTTTCCCTGTGTCTGTGTTAGTAAACTAATAACTAAAAGGATCTTGCATTTTAGATCGCTTTTTAACCCAAAAGCATGCTGCAGCCCACCAGAGGTTCATAGAACAAATTGAAAATCATGACCTGAAGGCATGTTTCTGAGGTTATATTTAGAAGGAATTGAGCTCTTGAATCCCTAGATTTCCTTGTCACTACTTTATTATTCTGCTGAAAGAAGTTTACTTTTAAAGGTTTTATACACTATGCATATTGGTGTGATAATCCTACTATAAGAAAAATCAGTTATTTTTTTTTGCAGATGAAATATACCACAGTTATAACCTATATTCCTCGAGGACTATAGCTTTTGTGCAATAAACCTTAATTGGACCAAGAGTAAATGTATGGTTGATATTCAGAGAATCTCATTCTTAGAAGCCACATAGTACGGTTAACACTAACTTGTTAATTCATACATCAGTTGTCCTCTCTTTCCAAAAAAGAAATCTTAAATTATTTTCATTTTAAAATCATTTGCTAACAAGTAAGTTTTTATTTAACTTAGTTAAATCGAACACTACAAGACAGTTACATTGTCTTTATTGTTTTGGTTTGAGGTTTTTTTTTTTTTTTTTTTTTGAGACAGAGTCCCGCTTTGTTGCCCAGGCTAGAGTGAGTGCTGTGGCATCAGCCTAGCTCACAGCAACCTCCAACTCCTGGGCTCAACAATCCTCCTGCCTCAGCCTCCCGAGTAGCTGGGACTATAGGCATGCACCGCCATGCCCGTCATTTTTTTTTTCTATATATATAGTTGGCCAATTAATTTCTTTCTATTTATAGTAGAGACAGGGTCTCACTCTTGCTCAGGCTGGTTTCAACTCCTGACCTTGAGCAATCCACCCTCCTCGGCCTCCCAGAGTGCTAGGATTACAGGCGCAAGCCACTGCACCCAGCCTTGGTTTGAGTTTTTAAAGGATTTCTTTTTTTTCTCTTAGCTTACTACAGTGCAGAGATTACTTTCTGAAAAGGCCACCGATGTGAACATTAGGGATGAAGATGAGTATACCTCTTTCATCGAGCAGCCTACAGTGGACACTTAGATATTGTCCGTGAGCTGATTGCACAAGGCAGATGTTCACGCAGTGACTGTGGATGGCTGGACGCCCTGCACAGTGCTTGTAAGTGGAATAACACCAGAGTTGCTTCTTTCTTACTTCAGCATGACGCAGACATCATGCCCAAACAAAAGGCCTCTTGACCCCTTGCATCTTGCTGCTGGGAACAGAGACAGCAAAGATACCCTAGAATCCTCCTGATGAACCGTTACATCAAACCAGGTCTGAAAAACAACCTGGAAGAAACTGCATTTGATATCGCCAGGAGACAAGTATCTATCACTACTCTTTGAAATTGTGGAAGGCTGTACAAATTCTTCACCTCAGTCTTAACGGTTCTAGTATTTTCTTAAGTTTCTAAGTGTCAGTGCCTCTTGTGTGAGACATAAAATATTCCCATAATGCAAAGTTAACATCAAATGTCTTCAGAAACTCAGTGGCACTATTTATAATGCTATTCCAAGTGAATCGCCTGATCTTGATGTCAAAATGTATTTGAAAGTTGTTGAGATATATCTTTAATAATTTCTGTGGAGTTTGTGATTTTTATCAGAAATAATTTTAACCTGCCTATACTTAGAAACGTGACTTGGGTTGTATAGAAACTAATGATATTTTGGTGCTGATCCAAGAGAAATGTATTTTTTAAATGTCCCACGTCCTGGATGTTTGTTGAGTATTTAGTATATTGACATATTTTTTATAAGGTGAGATAACTCAGAATTTAATTAAAGGTTTTAAATATTCTGGTGCAGTTCAGCTGTGTTCTCTATATTACCATAGCCAGTTGTTTTTTTTAAATCAGAAGAACTAACATATTAGTGACTTGAATCTTAATAAGTTAAGAAAAAAACACCAAAAACCAGATCTTTGTCCTCTAGGAAACACAGACCGTTTTCAGGAAGCAGTTAGCTAGGTGTTTAATCCATGAATGTTGTATACTGCCTCCCTTACCACAATTCACGTGATCCTGTGGACAGTCCTACCTCACGCTGTTCAGCCTACATGATCCTTATTCTAATGGTGAATCAATATGATTTTAGACATGCACACAACTGTACTTGGTCCAAGAGATCATAAATATCTGCTATCCAACTGGCTTTCCTGCCTAATCTTGCTGGTTTGGGTATTGCTCATATAAACTCTTGAGTATAGGAAATAGTGATTTTCCAAGATCTTCATTTTATATAGACTATACAAAGTGACCAGGGCAAAGGAATTCTAAGGGTGGGGATGATTATTATATTGGGGTTAAAATCAAAAGTGTCTCAGGCTTTAAAATAAAACTGTGGATAGTGAAAAAAGCATAAATATAATATCAAGAAAAATAAAGTGTAAGGTTTGAACAACAAAAAGCATGAATTACTTTTTTTAACCTGTTTATCTTTCTTGAATCCAGAACATAATTATTAATCCAACATGCATATATTTTATTTAATACCTACTCTCTCAGTCTCTCTAGCAGCAATTTCCCATTGACCATCTAGCACCCTGTAACTAATCCGAAGAGTTTTCTCCCAATTTCTTAACACCAGAACTAACACCCCTTAGGGAAAGGGAACTAAACCAATTGCCCTTTTCTTCAGCTATCCATTTTAAATGTCCACCAAGCTTATCTCTTTTAAGCTAGCCAATGTGATCAATCACCCTAGACTAAGTAATAATGTTATTTAATGAATATATGTAGTTAAACAAATTAGATCATCTCAAAAAGTTAAGATAAGATATGAACTGAATCATTGCAACAAACAGGATCCCAAGAGTTAAGAGAGCTTCAGTTATTTGTAGTCTCTGGCGAGGAGATGATCAGTTTCACAGTATTAGTATCTCTGACAGGGGTTGTGGTAGAAAGTGAGAGATTGCTTTCTGTGTAATCCACGAATCTAAATTAGTGACACTAAAGACAGGTGCAACTGACTGACAGTGGTAGATTAGGACGCCATTTGTCCAAGTAGCCAGCTGAGCAAGGCTGCTCTTCTGAAAGTCACAGAGCCCCTGGCTGCTTTCCACTTGAGATTGGGTTGTATCCATGATTCTAAGTAAACTTTCCTTTAAGTGTGGCCTAAAAAGCCTTTTTATTTATGATAAGGACCTGAGTTGTAACCACTCCTTGTTTTCAGGCTTAACTCACCAGTGCTGGACAGCAAACTCTAGATAGAAAAGAAGTCCCATCCCTGAGGGCAGAATTTGTATTGTTTGCTTCCTTTATATTTCCTTAGTATTTATCAGACGCTTGTCCACACAGGCATTCACTAATCATTCTTTTGACAGCATCACTTACCTGTACTTTCCAGTTTAAGCAGGCTAAGTAGCCAAGTTTGCAAACAGTTTTCTTGAATCTTGGAAATTTATACAAAGGCTTTTAAAAATAAAATCTGGGCCAGACACAGTGGCTGACACCTATAATCCCAGCACTTTGGAAAGCTGAAACAGGAGAATTGCTTGAGACCAAAAGTTTGACACCAGCCTGGGCAACATAGTGAGACCCGCTCTCTACACACACAAAAAAGCCAGGCATGGTGAAGTGCACCTGAAGTCCCAGCTACTGGGAGGCTGAAGCAGGAGGATCACTTGAGCCAAGAGTTCAGGTGACAGTGAGCTGTGATGCACCACTACACACCAACCTGGCCGACAGAGTAAGATGCTGTCACTAAAAAATAAAAAAAACTAAGTTTTTCCTAACTAAGGGCTTAGTTTTGATAAATGCTTGAGGAAAAGGTGACTTTTGTCATTGTTTAAGAGACACATACTTCTTAGCCACAGTGAAACTAGTTGCTTTGCTTTTATGAATCTTAAATAAATATGCTTTTCCAGGAGCCTTCTGGCCACAGCTTTCCACAGTGATGAGATTTAGAGTCTTTATTCTACAATATGAAGACATTCATTTATTTCTATTCTTTGACATCTATTGTGGTATCCATCACTATTCTAGAAGATTTGATCAAAAGAAGCCAGAGACTACTCTGAGACACTTCTCATACCAAAGTGAAATCCCTGGATCAACTCTCAATTCATGATCAACACATATACCATCTTCACCTTACCTGCAGTGGCTCTAGAATCTATGCAGCTCCTACAAATATAAGATCATCAAATCATTGATTAGTCTCTTCCATAGCTGTTTATCATAGGATGCTCCAGTCCTTCTGTAGGATTACTATTAATAATAACCATTCAACTGTTCAATATGAAGTGCTTTCTAAATTTAGGATCTATGTTTATTAAATCAGAAGACAGTAAACTAATAAAGATTGAGTAATAGCTGATTGATATTTAAAATTCCTGGAAATTTCCCTTTGAAACCCTAAAACTTCACTTCTGGGGACCTCAATGGGAACATTCTAAACCAGAGCTGTCAAAATCAAT